GACGTCACGCGGGTACTGTAGGCCTATCAAGACTCCCCGTCACTCCCCACCCCATCCCTCCTCAACTACACGTCTGTATCACCTCAATTTTAAACACATTTTCCCGACACAATTCTTCACAGAATTTAATAATTTTACTTCACACGAGACACTTACCTAGATAACTTTGTCTGTGACGATCGTTGAGAGTTGCTGGAAACAAAACTTGGAGAAATAAGGGAAAATAGTGAGAGCGAAATATATCGTGACCGAAGTTGTGTGTCTCTTTGATAGAGATAACACATGACAACAACAGATGACGTCATAATCAATTTGACGAAACTTCCGGTTTTTCGGACACACGTGACAGTTCACTGTGACACGTTTCCGGTGTTCCATATTAGGTTAACTTGGTCATAAAGGGACCATTGTTTAAAATTCAGAATAGCTTTAGTTCGATAATGATCCTGGTACGATAACTATAAATATTCGTTGCATAAACCCAGGTTCATTTATTTATTCTGAAACTATATAGAGACTAAATATATTTCTATTCTACATCTGTGCTTCGGAACTACAGTTTTTTTATTAGTCGGATTACACAGATTCTCGAAGGTCGGAATAAACAGTTTCCCATAGGGCCGCACTCCCCTCCCCCGTGAGATTAAACATATTGGTCAGACTGACTGTCTAATCCGACACAACGTAATGGTCAGTTTAGACAGGGTATCAGACTACACATATTTTGCTGTTGATTCCATATGAAATGATGTTACAACACTAAACAGAATGTTGGAATACTATATTGTTAAATGAGATGTAATTTGACACCCTGTTTAATCAGACCAATTTGTTGTGTCCCACAAGGTGTCGTATTACATAAGTTTCTAAGTAAAACTAATAATGCTCTCCTCTGACTCAAAATAGACTATTCACTAAGAGTACTTTCTATTATACCCTGTATATATCAGGCGCGTACACAGGTGAATTCACTGTTTTTTTTCAAACAGAAAAATAAAACAAGAAAAAAGACTACGCCCCGGTATATTATATACTCTATACCAAACTGTACTGGTGTTCCCGGGTATACAGTGGAAGGCTGTGCCTCGAGTACGTCTACCCGAGTATCCACTCGAGCGGTTCACACTTGTATGTGGGCCTCTACTTGTATTCTTACACTGGTAAAGCTGAACTTAGCCATTATTTGTCGTTTTAATATCGGCTCAAGTATATACCAAACACATTGAACAGTGCTTTCGTATTACGTTTGTACTGTTAACGTTTATGTCGTCAACAGTTAAGGAAACAACAACGCCCACCTGTGGTAAGGCGACAGTTAACATATGTTCCGTGGTTTAGGAAACACGAGGTTTTGGTGACACGTAAGAAATGGAGGTATGCTTGTTTTGAAGTAGTACACGGAGATACACGAGTGATATATGAGGTATTGTACACTTTTCTTAAACAATAATATTTATTTTATCGTAACTATATACCAATGGGGGATATGCCGCCCTCATGGCTGTTTGGGGGGGNGCGAAGGGCATAGCCCGAGAATTTATGGGGATGAAGGAGTGGGAGAGGGGGTATGTTGTATGTGGGTGTGTATAGGGGTTGTGTGGGGTCATGGTACGGTTGCTAGGCTGAGAAATATGAAGTTCAAGTTCAATAATTTTAACTTATACAAATACGTCCACATATTTAAAGGCTTTAAAGATACACACAGAGAAAACTAAATACAAGTTACTTGTCCATTTGATGTTGTCACTTGCCACCGTAGCCAATGTCCCTTCATTGGATGTGGGGCGGTTTTAGTGAGTTGATGTGGAAGGTAAGAGGTTGGTAGTACATATGTAAGGATTTTATATACATGTAGGATAAAAACTCGGGACGAACAGCTGCTGCATTTGTATAGGGTGGAACAGCATACGCGTAGGAAATGATATATCAATATTAATATTAATATACCCTCGTTTGTAGTATTACGTCCCATATTTTGAACCCCACAATGTGTATCGACGGTGTATATACAATATAAGTCAATGGAAGCATCCATGTGGAAACAAAATGTTAAACTGTTCCTTTGAAAATAATCATTCAATATTTATTCAATACGAAGGACATGCATTTTCAAATAGAGATGAATTCAGATACTTTGTCTTCGATATACATGTATATTTTTTGCCTATGGTGACACATAGAAAAAAAACCTTCTGAATAGACGCCCACGCGATTATTTATATCACACGCTTAATCTTATTATGACCCTCTGAATGGGATAGTCTGAACAGAAAAGGTATAAAACCGTTGATACGCACGCAGACGTCAAGTTGAAGAAAATGGACAGAACAGATGAAGATTTGGTAAGGGGGAAGGGAGGGAGGGGGTCATATTAGTCGCCACTTACCATGTTGGTCAGACTATACGTATATAATTTACCCTCAATGTATACTTATAGCAACAGGTTTCGCAATAACAATAGACAATAGACACCTCTGAACAATACAAAAATGAAAAGGAATTACTATAGGAATCAGTCATCTAAAATGTAATTCAAGATGAGTCGGGATTCGGCAAATTTTGAAACCATTATGGCTATTATAAGAGTTAGAGTATCAAAGACATTTTGAACTTTCGATTAATATCAACGCGAAAGGGAATATTTAAAAGATAAGCGTTATAATAATCCTTAATGATAATAACAGATCAATTTTGGTTATATGCTTGGCCGGCGTAATGGTAATAGTTAGTCGAATGTTCAGCTAGTTCAGTTCAGTTCAGATTATTGGCGTTTAGCCTTTCGTTCAATCAGTATAAATGTCTACAACAGATTTGTATCCAAAAATTGAGTAAGTGATGCACAGCAATACAGACATTGTGAAGGATGGACAATGTATTATTTAATACTTTACAAGTAACGTACGATTGTGTATGTATGTTTTAATTGTATGTGACGAGGCAAGGTTAATTCTGAAATCCCTTCATTTGAATGTATACCCATCCTTTACCACACAAACAATCGCCTGGTATTAATAAGCTTATGATCGCTCGGGATGAGATTTTGAAGCCTATCAGAAACAATATCCTTGCTTAAAGCTGACAGTGTAAGTTAAAAATCTTTCAATTGAGATTTAAAAAAAAAATGTTTTGCTGATTTTGATATCTTGGAGGTGGCGACATTTTAGAATGTACTTGCTTGGTAACGAGTATGGGTCTCGATGGGTATAAAAAACGCATTACCAGTCAAATCGGTTATAATTTGTTCACAAGGTGACACTACTACACTATATAAATAGAATACTTTCACAATTTTGAACCATTTTTTTTTTATCAGATCCATCAAAGATATCATTTATCTAAGAAAAGTGGAAATAATAGTAAAATATGACCAATTAAAATATCTATGCACAATCCCCCCTACCAAAAAAACACCCCAACAAAACAAACGGCGCTGAAAGAAACAAACATACGACTAATGCTAATGCCTACCTTTTAGATATCCAACTAGTAATAACATCCTGTGTGAAACCAATACTAATTTCCATGAGAACGGTTCAATTATCAAATTTCTCATTGTTGACTACACACCGGGGAGTGTCGCATTTTGCACGTGTTTTGCTAGTAAAGCGTCTACACAACGCAGACTAAGAGTTCCATGCACGTGAAAGACCGATGCTATATATGGGATTTATTTAAGTATTTTCAGTGATATACCTTTTATTTTGGATACACAATTTCGAGAATGTGCCATAAGTAACAAACAGCTTGGCCGTGATTCAAAGTCTGGTGAGTGCGTTTGATTTTTGAGATCGGTTGCCGATCAGGTAGTCCGAATTATTCTGACGTTTTATCGACTTCTTTTTTTATATCGGTCTGTCGTCGATTAACGTCGTTAAGCTATAGTAACTTTGGATGTGTCATTAATTATTTTGAGAGTTATTGCCCTTTGTGACTAAGTTTTTTCTATCAATTTCTGTTTGGCGTATCGCTAACAACAAAGGAGAATACATCATACTTAAGTTGGTACTATGCATCAACGTCTTGACAGTCTAATTCTTAACCTATAACAGAAACGCCCCCCCCCCCCCCCCCCCCCCCCCCCCCCCNACGGTTATACACCGTATAGTCTGGATGGTCCCAGCACCGTGTCAAAATATTAATAAATACTTTTTTTATTTTATTTCACACACCTGTATCAAAAGAGTAGGAATAGACAATTCAGAAATTTTGAATTAAATCTCATATAAAAATAGCTTATACTGCTATGTATATGTTTTCGAATGTTGTCAAAATGGCCCATTTTTTCTTTTTCCCACTTGGGAACATTGAGATTCGTAGATGAGAACAATTTCTCGCGGTCCAGTGTTCATTACTGGGAGACAAAATCGTGTATAAATTTCTTTCAATAATTACGAAAAATGTGTTTCGCCAGGAAATGTGTACTTTAACCGTTAGGTGAATATTAGAACTTCATAAAAATCGTCCGTCTGGTTGTCCTCTCGCGCACTCACAGGCCGTGCGAATAGTCGTTTTTCATACGATTGCAAATAAATCGGGAGTTATCAATGAGAATTCTGATGAGAAATGATTTCGTTACCATTTTAAAATTCTTAGTATTTACGAATTTCCTCAATATTTACAGACGGACAGCGTGATTTCTGTACTGATGACTTGGTCGTTGATCGTCGGTCGATTACCTAGTGGTAGTTCTCTTAGTCTAATGTGTGTTACTGCAGTGTGTACCGTCGAACAGCAATCTGATTAAAATCATGTTACATGGCTTCGTTAACTTCGTACTATGTTCAGGCGGAGCCTTGTAACAAATGATTTTAATCAGATTGGTCGAACAGTTATCCGTGTTGAATGCAAAGTTGGGGCGAATTGTCTTAGTCAGGAGTATTCAAGATGTTCGTCTCTGTGTGCCTTTCATCGGATGATATTAAATATTTTCATTTAAAATCGAATACAAGCAGAAAAACCTTTGTGTCGGCAAAGAAAAAATAAAACTTTTTTTTTTAAATCCTTACAAACAAATCAATATTCGCCATGGGTTCAAATACCTATTAGAGTGACGTGCATTTTCATTGATCAATGCTAAGCTGTGGAATGTCTGATCAGTTTATAATTAACCTGTCATAAATTCAAAATTCTAGATAACTGTTTTAAGTGTCATCATTTATATTTTTGTTTCAGGGTGGTACTTGTCTTTAAATGATACCGTTTTAAAGTCCTCTTTTGTAATTTCAGTTTAAAATCATTTTTTAAATACCATTGATGAAATATTTACGTATCAGCACAGTAAGATAACCATGCATTATGGTTTAATTTTTGATCGATGTATACAGGCATGCTAATTGTAGTTAGCCTTTTCTTCGGGCGAAGTTAGTTTTAATTAGATATTTTACAGGTAACCAGCTAGTTGTATAATGCAATAGTGCTCAGTTATGCCTGTAAAATACTTTAAATGCTGGGCTCTAATACATGATATTTACACGTCAAAATAAAGAAGTATAATTGTAATTGTGAACCTAAAGTCGTCAATTTCTTCAATGCCAAGCGTCAATCATGTACAGCAGAGCGAACTGAATTAAATTGAAATCCGTTTTACCGTAGTCAATTTTATCAATGTCCATTTCTTAATCTGAATCTCATTTCAGGTAACTTGAAGCAGACGGAAACTCTTTTACGCGGAAGCGAATGTGTTTGGACTTATGCGGTTCATCCATTTTTATATGTAGTCTGTTCACAGTTCCCTTTGACAAACTGTGATAGTTGTCTTTATAAAAAAAGACTAGTTTGTAAACCGCTGAACTACACGAAACAGACATGAAGAAATTGACATTATTTTTACTGGGATTGGGAATAGCAGTGTATGTTCTGATAGGGGGCGCTGTGATGATGGCGTTGGAATCGTCAAACGAATCGGACACGAAAACCACCTCAAGATCCACCTTCACCAACTTCTTAGGTAAGATACTGTTTTATTGTTTGTGTGTTTATCAGTCGGAAGCGTCTGAACATTACTTTACGTTGATAAGTAGACATTATCTCGTTCAAAACGTTTTCATTTAGTGTATATATCAATTACTGAAGTTGCGTGTTTTAGAAGATGTAAAAGTTCACAGCATTTTACCAAAATTAATTTCAACCATGTGATGACAACTATTTTTTTTAAAAAAAACAACCTTAAGATTCTTCTTAATTATTGTTAAACTCATGTGTAACAAATTAAAAAAAATATCAGCTGAGATAAGTTCAAATACGTCGTCAATTCTCAAAATCATGTTAGGATTAAGGACTATATTTCCACAAATAGGAAAAATAGATCTGAAACTGAAAAATTAAATAGAACATCTGCGACAAATGTTGATTAAATTAGTTCAAGTTTTTTTGGTCAAGAATTGACGATACCGGTATAGAAATTTTAACCAAATGCAAATTTTGCATTTCAACTTGAAGAAATTGAGAGAATCTGGTCCTGACGGGCCAATTTCAAATTTTAGGGAAACAAAAGAAAGAAAAAAAGTTAAAACTTTTGTTGACGTATGATTATCTTCGTTTACAGCAGCTCAGACGTGTGTGTCGTCTGCGGAGCTCGAGACCTTCGTCAAGGCCGTCATTACCGCGTATGACCAGGGTATCATCGCCACTGAACAGACAGACAGCGCCTCGCTCTGGGACTACGTTAACTCCGTCTTCTTCTCCATGACGGCCGTCACAACTATTGGTGAGTCGTGCAAGTCATTTCACTTGGCACTCATTTAAGAATTGAACTGCTTTCAGTTGGCATTCATAGACAATATGAATGCCATTTTTAGAAAACGTTCATCTCGTAAAAATATCAATGACTTTAGTTCAAATAATGTATGTATGCTCGTTCAGCGAATAGAACAGCCATAGCCCGGGGAGGGTCAGTGGTATCCAACGTAACAATTATGACTTCATGATAATGATGACGTCAACAATCGGTCCGTGACATCCATATCATATGAATGCCAACTGAATTTGGTAGGGTTATATAGCGGCAATGCCATACGATGGTAAATATTGGGCGATCAAAAAATAGATCCTATTGTGGGACGGGAAGTATTTCTCGGGGCTTGAACATGTTAGCTTTAACTTTGTTTCTCTTTACAAAATTATAAATGTACAGAGAAAACATGTTTACAACAGTATACAACATCAGATGTTTTATGTATGGAGGACAAATCCTGTGACTTTTTGAAAAAATTCTTAAATTTTAACATTGTTTTGAGAACTTCACAATTTTTGGCATCACATACTAGTATTTATATAAAAAATAACTTCCTGTAGACATAAAGGATCATTGTAACAAGTAGCGGAACTCGTCACCTATGTCTTGGGTATCTCAATATGTACGTATTCTGTTTTGGTACTGAACATTATTCCATCTTCCACTATACATTTATGATTACTAGTTCTAAATTTACACAATATAATTCTTTCATTTTCAGTCAACAATTCTAGATAAACTTCAAAATTACAATTAAATTTATGGGGAGGTGCACGGGTATTTGTCTTAAAGTCAAGAAAACACCTCTCGACTGCCACTGAAATGGTGACCCCTATTGAATGTAGCTGGAATAGGAAAATATGAAAGAGTTGCGCTCGTGCAAATTGCCAATAATAATCCTAGTGAAGTTCATATTCTCTGTGGGAACGAACTGAAATCAGTTCAATATTTACACATTTCCATGACCTTGTTTTTTATGCAAATGGAATGTATAGAAATTGTCTCTGAATAGCGTTTGAAATGCACAACCCTCTGCCAGTGCTTATTGATATTGTCTCTGGGAGCAACGATTATTATTTTCAATATTCAATAACACATTGTTTTGTTAATAACATGTAACAGAATATCAACAATGAGTTTGTTTGAAATACATATATCCGTTATTGATAATCAATGCCCTGCCTGCTTTGTCAACGAACACAGTTTAGACGCCATCCGGTTCTTTTTTATTTACGCACGATATTGATATATACTCCCAATCTAAAAATATATAACCTCATTTGATTTATCATACGTTTGTTTATACTGAGTTAGCCACATATTTTTTTGCATACCCCCGGCGAAGTTAAGGGTGGTCGGGGTGCAGTGGATAGCGCACTTGCCTTTCACCGAGGCGGTCGGAGTTCGATTCAACGATCGGATGTGGAAAGGGATAGGTTCACCTACCCGACCACGTGAGTTTTCTCATGGTACTCCAGTTTCCTCCCACATTAATACCCCGCGCGCTAACATACGGGCAATCAAGAGTGATTAATAGAAGTTGAAATAACTTGTTTCATATTTTTTTATTTTTTTTATAAATAAAGTTTATATTTAAAGTTAATGGGCAGTAGCAGCCACTTTGTCTCTTTGTATGATATTGTCCGGGCGGTTTTTTAAGCACCACTGATTATCATTTGATTTAACTTCGTAACTAATGACGTAGCTCATGTCAAGGTCAAGGTCACAGCAAAGTGGTCGAAGGTCAAATCACTACCCAACGCTTGTCTGGACCATAACCAGGGGCGGATACAGAAAAGTATTGAGGGTGTTGCCCAAACCAAAAATTTAAAATTAATTTTAGAATTAATTTCGACACAATTTTCTGCACTTGCACTTAGGAATTCACATGAAGGTTCTATCCTACTTTTTCTGTCTTCACATTATAGGGATTTATGTATAGAGTATATGCAGCTGATTATAACTAGAACATGTTTTTTTTTAATTATTTACCCCCGGCGAATGAAAACCAATTCAAGATACATGTATATAGCTGAAACTCGTGTTTGATTGACTGTTGTATTACTTCGGGGCTCCAATTAAACGATGTGCTCTAGGTTAAAGCATGAGGTAATGCTAAGAGTTTGAGGGGGTGTTTCCTTTTTTAATTTTTTATTTACATCGGTAGATTTGCCTAAACTGCCTTGAAAAGATATAATAAATTACACACACACAAAATATGACACAGGTACGTTTTTTTCCTTCTAACCGTTCAGTTCAACTACAATCATATTCATATAAGCATGTTCCTGTGATGTTTTGCTTGCTACATGAAATAAAATAACTTCAAATAGCAGCTTTTGGCAACAGACATGTATTTAATATTTCATCCCACATTCGACTACCAAAACAATCAATACAATGCATGATCATCATTATATGTTGATAACTGTTCCGTACACTGATCGTGAATGCATTTGTCCGGGACTATCAGCCCAAACAATATCATCGATGCAGCAATAACTAGTAGCGTGACAGTCCAATGTTTGGTGATGCAAAATGTTGCTTTCATATGCATTCATGTGCATTCGGCACTATAATTCAGTGGGGAATTCGAATTATGCATTGTATTACTTAGTAAAAATTGTATAAATTCCTCTTTTTGGACAAACTAAACATTAAATATGAGGTATGTGGTAAATTCTGTGCTTTAGCAAATTCTATGAAATTGGAAAACTACAGATTGCAGTCACAATAAATGACTCTTAATATTGATATACCTTTGAAACCACAGGTGAATATGCAGGTATAAATAAAATAGTCTCGATCTACCGACCAGCCCATATATAATGACTTTACCTAATTCCTACAAATGGTATAGCCCACTCCCCTCTGACAGGGGTGATCACTACACACCAGTACAAATACAGGTACATGTAGTACAGGAATATCCAAGTAGGGTCGGGTAAAACAAAGACCATTGACCTGACTGGACACATGCTTAAATGGACACTAGAAGATTCCCTGTCGTTTAGGGTAGTGGAATCAGTGGTGTTTGGGCAACACCCTTAGACCTAGAGTTAGTGGCAATGTTAGAGAAGCCATAGAAAACAAAGGTTCAACTTGTCAATGAGAAATTCACATATGACACGGAGGGAAATGTTCAGATCGATTTTTGACACAGAAAAAAGGGTGCTAGGGCAACCCCCTTGCATCCGCCACTGACAACCTAACTTAACTGTTTTGAAACTTCGTAATGACAGGAAAGATTTCGCATCCAAGAGGTCCAATGTGAAATTCTATATTACTGTAGTTGGTCACACCGTTGTTTACGTTGAGTCGGTCAGACTGTTGTTTACGTTGAGTCGGTCAGACTGTTGTTTACGTTGAGTTGGTCAAACCTTGACGATTCACCGTTAATATTGTGATCTTATTCAGACAACTTTTTTTTTTATTGCTTATTAACCTAGCTCTTTATTTCTTTTCCATTCAAGGATATGGTAATCAGACTCCAGCCACAAGTGGGGGTCGTGCCTTCATCGTGGTATTCGCCCTTATAGGGATACCTTTGGTCGCAGTGTTTCTGTCCGGGATTGGGGATAAAATCGCGGGGCTCACAAAGTCATTCCAAGAGAAGCAATTCTCTAAGAACCACGAAGTCGCCGAGCATCGTCTGAAGGCTGTGATCATTCCAATTACCGGTCTGGTTATTTTACTTTTCGTACCGGCCGCCATTTTCTCCGCCGTTGAGGATTGGAACTACGGCGAAGCCTTGTACTATTGTCTAATTACTCTAACAACGATAGGATTTGGGGATTTTGTAATTGGTAAGTATCAATCTTACGTTTGAAGAATTCGGAAAATACGTCATATATGAGTATCAATATGACGTCATTATACCCGTTACGTTATCATTAAGTATCACCTAACTCGCGAAAGCGAAAAAAAACAACGATTCCACATTGCCTCACATAAGGTGCCTCATACAAGAATTTCACCTTGGTGACAAACTCGATAGAGATTCGATCTCTAAAAACAAATATTATAATAATAGACGGTTGATGTAATTACTAGGCTATATGTTTGTTTTCCCGCCAAAAGGTACTCAAGACGCCACCTACCGGTTAGCATATCGTCTGCTCACGCTCATTTGGATAATGTTAGGACTGGCATACGTGGCAGCGCTCATCTCCCAAGCACAGGCCATGTACACACAAGTTACGGACAAAATTGACACAAAAGTCCAAAAGGATGACGACAAAAAAACAAACCACGAAGGTAGCAAGACAAAGGTATGAGAAAAGAGGACCATGTATCAGATGTTTTAGTAAATAAAATAGAAAAATATCGGTTAGTTCATAGTTATAATATGTCTATATTTGTTTTTAACTGGTGTTGGAAGATACGACGTAATATTAGCTACATATTATCTAAATCGAAAATGTTAACTACATAATACTAAATTCTATTGTCCTGTTTCAGATCGTTGCTGCAAACGGCGAGGAGGGAAAACGTACCGGAATCACAGAACTTTGAACAGTTGCTGGATAAAAAAAAACGGTCAACGATTTCTACATCCACCTGCGCTTACCTCTTGAATCTTTTTCATCCAAAATACAATTGAGTAGGTAGTGATTATTGTGGGGGGAGGGTCGGGCTGTAATACGTGATTTGCAGAACAGGTTGCGGTGTTCTGACATACTCAAGTTGTCGTAAGATTGCATGTCGACGTGGAAATGAAATCCCATCAATTTGACCTGCAACCAATTTATTGGTAAATTGCATTCAGAATGACATGGGTTAAAACAGCTTAAAAGTCCTGCATTACCTAGTTTTGCTGACACCTTGAGCTTGGAGCCGGGATTTGAAACTGCAGATACAATATGTAGTCACCCCGGCGTCGGCGTCCCACCTTGGGAGGTTAAAGTTTTTCTTTTTCTTTTCCAGACAGTGTTGGATCACCACACTCATTACACAGTTGTTTATAATGAGTTTAAATCATTTAAATCGAGTGTAAGCAGTGTGCTGGACCATATTTTCATATTTTATGGCCCCAAAACAGCTTAAGGTGGCTCCACACATCGTCATCAGCGTCCATTTTCGTGACGTACTTCCGGAAAAAGTACAGCTCGGACTCAATTATCTTGATCGAAATGTATATGTACACCGTGTCGTCATTTCCGTATTGCGTATCGGGCATTCAATATCGTAGTGCAAATTATAGTAACACCGCCGTTGTCGTTTAAACGGTCAAACCGATCGGACCACTGTTGTTCGTTTATTAAATAAGGTCGGACCTAGTAATCTGATGCTGCTTTCAGGCGAGCCTTGAGAAAGCCTTGCAAGGCCTGCATACACATTTGCAGGTCCGCCAGGATTTATACCCGAAATTGTTACATTTATAAACGGTCAAACCGGTTGTTCCGCATAAACGAACAGGCCCATGGTAAACAATAGTACACGTGCGTGCCGATGATATGTCAACACCCGATATCAAGATTTTACCGGGAAATGTATACTCACACGTACTTCAGGAATAAAGCTTTCCAATTCATAGACATAAACAGACTCACGGGAAGACAGTGACATGAGACCAGACGACCTCAAGAAGGTCATATAGGAAACACATGGAATGCGGACGTACCAACCTCACATGTGCATATCGCGTGTTTACACGAGTTCATAAGCTCGAGGTCGTTACGATTTTCGCTGTTGAGGGAGTTTCGCTCTGTCGATTAAATCGTGTTTACAAATGTAGTCTACTAGCTTACTCTGTGAAAATAATGTTTTGTAAAATATCAAGATACCTATGAAATGCATGTGTGAGTGCACGTGAGAACGGTATACCATGCGATAGCCTCTGGTCTGACATGTAATTATAAATATACCGTGAGTTAGCGGACTGTGGAATGATGTCCAAAGTGTACATGACTGAGGGTAATTTGGTTCCATTAAAGAACAATAAATTGATAATTTTGATATCATATTTTTGATTTATTTCCATCATTTTTGTTATATGTAAACCACGGAATTAGATTAGAGTTATTAGGTTATCTGAGTCCGTGATGTAAACAGAGACAACTGTCATTGTGTAAATGTCATCCCTCTTCTTGTAAAATGTAAAATAAATTAATTATAAAGCCATTGTGTATATTTTGTTCAATTTACCATTCTATATGTATAGATCTTTGTGTCCTGTTTGCTTTTAGCTTGTAGATGATCACTTTTATCCGTACAAATTCAATAAAAAACATTTTGTGTAACATGTGTTACATATTTTGCGATAAATAAAATATTTGTAGGGTTATTTAGAAATGCTTCTTTTCATTTTATTATTGTTGTTATTGTTCCGAACAATGCCACACAAAAGCCCGGAAAATATTAAAATTGACGAAAATTCAATTTTTTGGTAATTTGATGAGGGTAATTTGGAATTTTGCTGGTTAATTGCGAAAGTGTGGAGCCACCTTAATTAATTAATTGGACTTAATCAAATTTGAAGTTAAAGTTTTTGGGCAAGTTTTTTTGTAAAGTGTTGGACAACCACCATCGATAGGCTGTTGTCTATTATAAGGTTGAAGTATTTACATGGAGTGTAAGCAATGTCCTGGACAATATTTTCATATTTTAGGGTCCAAAAACAGATTCATTGGACTTGGTTTAAGTTTTATGGCAAGCTTCAGGTTACAGTGAATTCACCACTAACAATAGGCTGTTGTCTATAATAAAACAAAAACAGCTTTATTTGACTTTGTCAATTTCTTAACAATTACTTCACATAGATGTTCCTACACAATTAACGGTCCTTGACATATGCTGGTGGTAAGTGAGGTGTCAAATAAAATGACAGGCACTATATCAGCGTTTTACTATGCATGTGTTTCACATACATAGGCGAGCTATGCTGTTCTCCGACAGCTCTTGTTATAAACAGGGTGATGTGATAAACCGGTTGCTAGGGTGACTTGATGCGACTGACAGTCAATGGTTCAGTCTCTAAAAAGGATGTAAAAAGGTTTTTACAACACTTTCCTCTATATAAATGATAATTCTCTGCACATCGAGGACGGAGCTCTTCCGGGTTTCGAAGAATCAATCCTCGTTACAATGCCACAATGTTTATTTATTTCATCACTCAGGAGTAAAGTATATTTTGTCACTTTGTCTATTGAACATAAATCGTACAAAAACTTTAATACATTTTTGAAAACGTTTTCTTTTTAACTCGTAGCTATCAAATTTAAATTTGCAATAACTCGTCTAACGGAACTAAAAAACAATATTTATCAATTTGGTCCGACAAAAATTGTTGCTCGTATAAGAGAGGACATCTTAGTATACATGTTTCAGTTAGTAGTTTTACAGAACTGTGTCTAGAGCAGTATTCGGTTATTACAGGGTGTCGGAATACTAATTAATGGACCGGTTAGGAAGTTTTCGTGGAACTAGAGGTCGGCGAGGATGTCAACAAATACGCTATCAACGAATCGATCTTCTGTTACTCACCGTTTCGTCGAGGTCTTAAATATTTTTTAGTCAACTTGATTTTGAATTCAGTACCAATTAAGGTTACAGCCGGTCAGGTGAAAGAGAAAACAATTTGTGACCATTACTGACCATCTTGGATATTGAATCGAAGAAAATATAAAAACACAAGTGTACTAAGGTCAATTAAGTTCAGACGGTTGAAAGTGTTGAAAGTATCTCGACCGATCAGAAGTCAGGATGGGAAACTTACTCATGTTCACAATAAGATAACTAATTACACCTAGTTATTTATCTCGTACTAGAACAGGAGAAAATGATTAAAATGTCAACCGGCCGTAACCACTAGGCATCCTCGCTCTAAATATATAAATAGTCGTACTTTGAAATGAAATTTCATGTCTAGATAACCATGAAGTTAGTATGGCTCCGACACGCGGAAACTGAGACTTTTTTTGTGGTTAGGAGAGTAATTTTTCAGATTTTTCCAGACATTTGACGATTTACTTTTGTATGTTAATTGTGAACTGTATTCCACAGGGAAACAAATTTATACACAATTAATCATGTATAAGATGAATTAATCACTATACTTTTTTAAATTAATGTACTGTGTATCATTGTATCTATCTTTATTAATTAATAATATTGTATGTTTCTGTATTATTAATTGTTTATGTAGTTTACTGTGTAAATTTATATAAATCAAAGAATGTAGGTGATACCGGTATTCATGTATGCAATAGTATACTTTTTAAAATGAATGTACTGTTTACATGTTATTGTATCTATCTTTATTAATTAATTATATTGCAGATTTCCGTATTATTGATTGTTTATGTAGTTTACTGTGTAAATTTATATAAATCAAAGAATGTAGGTGCTACCGGTATAGTGTTATATGGTAAACATATTCAAAATCTGAATGAAATTAATTATAATTGGGTATTGGTTATACAGGAAAATACTTAAATAGGCTTAGCCTGTTGTATTAATTCATGTACTGTTATAGTGCTTATGTAGTACTTGTTATTATGTTTGTTTGTATTAACAATACAATATTTAAAAATATTTTGAATTAAAATCTGACTGGACGAGTGTGGTGGTATTACCTTCAAAGTTGATTGAAAGTTTTGAAAAATCTAGTAAACTATTTATACAAATACATGGAGTTTACTTATTGTCTTGCCGTTCTTGAACGATTTACCTCCCTTTACTTGCAGCGATATATTTTGCAAGTCACTAATATAATTATTACCTCCGTATACCCGCAGAAAATAAAACAAATTGCATACAATCGTTGCAGTTTGTGAAATAATTTACTATTTCTGCAGCTAAACGCTATCGGTGAGGTGTTTTTGGGTGTTTTTGGGTAAATCGTCGTGCCGCTCATTGAATGAACCTGCAAGGAGTTGGTAAACATTTTTGTTGCGCACTGTTGGGTAGCCAGAGTTTCCTCTGGCCCTAACACCAGACTTAGACATTTTGACATATAGATTTCTGGTGTTAGGGGAAACTCTGGCTAACTATTGGGTAACTCCCTGGACGTTATTTCATTGGTCAAACTTTTAATTATGACGTCATGACCTTACAATATTTTGCGACGTCGTCTTAAATTGTGACGTCAAAGTTAATGGCAATTGTTTCCCCGATCAGAAACAGGATTAATGTAATCCTAAGAGAAACATATGGGTATCTAGATAATCTGTCTGAACGTTGTGTGGGGAAAGGTCCCCATGCAAACTCATGATGGTTGATCATCGTGTTTAAATTATCTTTAAATTTCAAAAGCCACTCGATAAACCTTGCGTCCTATACAACTTGAAATTTAACTGACTCGAGTTAGATAAACATGACAACCAACCATCACTCGTTGGGAAATGTCTGTTTCTGTCCTTCTATTGAACCCACTTGCCTCTGCCCCAGGAGAATGACAACTTTCATTTTCTACGTGGTCAAAGAAAGAATCACACAAAATTAACTTTGAATACACATCAGTGAACATAAAAGGAGTAAAGGGCAGTTTTATCTTCGAGTACAACAATCTCGAATTGATTAGCCAAAGCAAATCACACGGACTTGACCCAAGAGTTGCTAGATTATAGAAGTGGTGTAGTGTATGTGTTTTCAATAGTTGCGGTAGATACATACACATTTTCCAAAATGTTTCAGAACAACAAAAACACCATTGGGCTTTCTCTCATTTCCTTTCTCCTTTATTTTCTTCTCACCCTCCAAATATTCCTTTCTTATCCTCTTCTTCTCTTCCCTCTCTGCTAGGGAGGTGACACAGGAGAGAAGGAAGGAGGGGAAACGTAGGGGAAGAGTAACATAGGAAGGTTTTCTTTTTCCTATCCTCGTTTCTTCCTCTCACCTGCTTTCTATCAATGAGGAAGGCAGTAATGGAAAGAGGCTAGACGGCAGGGATGAGAAAGTGAATTCTTTCCTTCCCTCTTTCCCTCTCTAAAAGGAAAGAAGGGAGACGGCGAGAGAAGGGCATGAGGCAAGTAAGGAAAGAGTGGAGAAAGAAGGAAAGAGAAAGAGAGGCTTTCTCTCTCTCTCTGCTATATCGCCAGGACATGCACGTTGTATGTAACATTTCATCAATATGATGTATCTAGTTGCTGTTACTACTCCACAAGCTTCAATAAAGTACGAACACAAGTATGGTATATCTCTCTGTTCAGTTTATTCTCCCTCCACATTGTAATCAACAAGATTTACATAACAGAAACAAAAATAAAAATTAAATTCATATTTATACAGTAAAACTTGCTTAACTCCAAAAAACTCTTGAAGTCCAGAGAAAAGTAATACACTTGTACCCTGTTCTCACTTTTCAAGAAAGCAAACAAATTGTGAGTGTGAAGCTTAAGCTCTGATGATGTGGTTGAGGTTAAGAAAGAAGTTGTACTATTGTAATTAAATTAAACTTTTTCAGCTAGGTGTATCCGGGTTGAATAGATTAAGTTAAAAGGGTATTGAACTTATCAAAGTTAACTAGATTAAGAGAAGTGTACAAGACTTATCAAACTTAACCAGTTAAAGTGGAAAATAGAATTATCTTGTTATCCAGGGTAAGTGAAGTGTATTAGACTAATCTTGTTAACCAGGTTAATTAAGGTGTATTAGACTAATCTAAGCTAACTAGTGCAAGTAAAATGCATTAATAGATTAATCTTGTTAACCAGGTTAAGTGAAGTGTATTAGATTAATCTTGTTAACCAGGTTAATTAAGGTGTATTAGACTAATCTAACCTAACTAGTGCAAGTAAAATGTATTAATAGATTAATCTTGTTAACCAGGTTAAATGAAGTGTATTATAAGACCAATCTTGTTAACCAGGCTAAGTGAAGTGTATTCGACTAATCTTGTTAACCAGGTTAATTAAGGTGTATTAGACAAATCTAAGCTAACTAGTGCAAGTAACATGCATTAATAGATTAATCTTGTTAACCAGGTTAAATGAAGTGTATTATAAGACCAATCTTGTTAACCAGGTTAAGTGAAGTGTATTAGACTAATCTTGTTAACCAGGTTAAGTGAAGTGTATTACAAGACTTATCTTGTTAACCAGGTTAAGTGAAGTGTATTAGATTAATCTAGTTAATTAAGTTAACTAGGATTACCCAAGTTAACCAGGTTCTACTGTATTATAAACAAAGTATAACTAAAACAATGAACTGATATGTATTGTTTGAAAAATGGAAAATAAATGGTTATCTTTGGTCTCAGTAGAATTGATACTATGGCTTTGTTCAATGTTTGGATGTAGGTGTGACTTCATTCAACAGGCAAATCAGAGTGTCCGACTCCATCCCTAATGATCACCAATATTTGTACACAATATATCTAAACAGGAACCTGTATAATCCAGAATATGTACAAAGTCAACTGTATATAATGTCATGCAAATAGAAAACTTGTACATGGAAATTCTTATGAATGTTATAAAGCTTCGAAACAATAGGTACGCTTGCTATTTCCTATTTACAGAAGTTTAGCAAATATATCCTTGCGTATGTTACAAATGTTTCATCAATCAATTTATGCTAGTCATAAAAGATATTCTTTGTAGTTCCTGATGTAGAACTCTCTGGGAAAGGAGATTGATTTCATTGTAGGGTAATTATACCCTTAACTCTACGTGTCATCAGAACATTTCAATGACCACATTTCCATTCGGTTTTAGAACATTATAAGAACTTCATACAGTTTATCAATGTAGGTACAACAGAGGAAAAGTTCACACAAACTTTCAAAGAACATAAGTTTTGGCAATTTATAATGAATGACAAAAACAAAGCAAAACCAGATACCAAAATTAGTTGTTAGGGGGTCTTAGTATTCTCTTTGACATGGATAAATCATGGAAAGGCATACTAAAAAGTATTAATGTGTTTATAAAACTTATGTACAATTATTGTGCACAACATAAATAGTTCTGATAATTTTTACATTCCCTCTCACATACACTCGTTGAACATTTCGTTGAATTTTTATTTTCAGTTTTTTATATTGTAAACAAAATACAACTAATTTCTACAATTGTCACCTCATTACACATGTCACTTACAGTATCAATCCAGAAAAAAATAATCTAAACAATATTGCGTTTGGAAAACCCAATAGCAATGACATGTAGAAATATGTGTATAAAAGATATAATACATTAAGGAAATTAATATTTAAACTAAATGTTTTGAGAAAATGTAGATAAAGAAAGTTTTTCAGAATGTATTAAAAACAAGATATTGAGAGAAAATAAAAAATAAAATCATGGTTACTTGACGTTTTTAGAGATGAACAGCAACTGTACACACATTCATATAGTGTATAACACGAAATGTTCGTGGATACTTTCCCTCGTGGTTCGAAGCGGTTTAGATCATTTTGTGGTAAAACTTTCGTGGATATACTATATTTACAAACAGTAGACATGTGTATCATTCAAATTCGTTGTATTTATTTTTGTGGTTCAATAGCAACCACAAAAACCACGATTTTTTATGCACAGGATCCTTGAGTAGGAACATGTGCTATATGAACCTCTATCTTACCAACCCAAAGAAAATGTAAGAAACATTAGGCTTAGCAAGCAACTACGTTGAGTAAACTAGGCAAAGAGAGTGTAAAAAGTTGCTAGGATATTCGATTGACAATATTAAAAGTTGAAAAACAAAACACATCCTTCATTACTTTGGTTCTGAATTCTGAGGTGAATACATCTTTACAAAAACGACCTTGTACACCAAACTAACACCACACAACCACTCTTCACGTAACCTCATAATACGCTTAATCCAAATTGCATATTTGAATGCAAGTGGAACTTAACAGATTTAAATTTAAATCTGCTATTTGGATTGATCTAGCAAAAATGGAAGCACTTTTTTTTAGTATGTATCACATATATGCTATACAATGAACTGATTTACCTCTATTGTAAGTATTTTACATATTAACTAATAATTAAATTGTTTTCAAAGAATAGTCATTGGAAAAAAAATGTTTAGGACAAAATTAAATCATGTTGTAGAAAAGAAAATACTGGATTTATCAGGTATATTGTAGAAATTTTAAAAATAAAAACAAGTTTTGTCTTAAATTGAGATGTGATTACATGGGTCTAGGCCAACCATATTTCGGCTTCCATTCATCATCTGTTGACTTCATATAAATAAAACTTGTATGATTTGAAATTGTTTTGTTGTACAAGTAAATCTTTTCAGTATCATTGAAATTTTTGCAATCTAGATGTCAGTCTGCCAAATCTCTAAAGTTAATGCCTCCATGAAAAGAACTCGTGATATGATATGTGAAGTAAATGTGTTTTCAAATGTGTGGCACATCAATTATAACTTAAAAATATATGAGATTCTATTCTAATTATACTCATCTAAAAACTTGGCCTTTATAAAAAAATCTTTCTATAATAATTTGTGAAATAAAAATAATCATTATATATTTTCAAACCAAATCAAGTTTGACATCCAGGAATTGTTTCAGTAAAACACATTCAAAATCAAACAACTGTCGAAATATCAAATAAGCATACACAACCTTTGTAGATATATGAAATAATTTGAACATGGTCATTTTTTTCAGTTTGTAGAAATATTAAGCAATTTAAACTAATATCAGGATTTCATGAAAGACATTGAAAATGTAGAACTTAAAGATTTAAGACTAACAATTCTTCGTCGTGGTTGGAAGCGCTGACAGAATGGGACTCTGCCATGGAAGGCCATGATTGCAGTGAGGAGAATGACGACGCCAAGGAGAACGTAACCAAACGTCAGTGACGGTGCTTCCTCCTGAAATGGATAAAGAGTCGGTCACTGGACTAGATGACATAAGGAACTACAAACATCATTTTGTGGGTACAGGAGTTCATGGATTACGAGTGCCCGGCACTCTAAAGGAGAACTGCTTTATATCAAACTATGCGAAAGTTTCCACGCTGAAATCAGTATCAAGAGTCACCCTACAAACATTTCACCACGTGAGACTCTTCACTTCTACATTATGTATGGACAGTGGTATTCAGGATTAGACACAATTTTTTATTTGTTTTATTTAGAAAACTGAGTAACATTTTTGAGTAAATCAAGCCATCAATGCAAATATATAACAACCAAGTCATGCAGTGTTTTTTCAGAAAATGGAATTCCCTTTTTCTATTCAAAAAGTGCCCCTGTAATCTAGCTTGGTACTTCACAAAACATGTACTCAAAATTGCATATCCATATACGTGGTATAAATGGAATTCACAACGATATTTTAGTTCATTTTTTGTTTTTACATAGGCCTTTTTACAATCAGGTGTAAAAATAAAGGTGATTATATAATGTACATGCATTACAGATACAGCCTTACCAAGACAGCTGATTTCATCTTCACTATTCCTTGACTGAGTTTCCAGTCAATTAAATATTGAAAAAACTTTACATATAGTGGGTGCATTTCCTGCACTATAGTCTGAAATAAAAACAAACAGAATTATTCAAATATGATAATAAATACGATTTTTAATAAGCACACACATTTGTATTGATTGATTTCTTTAAATTTCTAGACATTTTCCCAAAGATTTTTGTAATTATTTAGATGAACAAATTAAATATTTCCTTTACTATAAAATATGATTTATAAGGCTTGAAAATGTTTCTGTTGTTATTTAAAATTAATTTTGTAGTGTAAACATGATACATTAACACACCAATTTTTCTGTGCATTGGTGACTTGCCGATTACATATTAAACCACTAATGCTACCTATGGTATTCAGGAATACTCAGGAGTTAACATTGAAGACAGGATGTCAGCATACCCAAGGGTTTGGTTAGACAGTTTCTATTTAGGGATCCCTGTTCCTCTGCACTGTTTGTTTACCCGTTTTAAATACATCTGTAAAACAATTGGACCAGGTCACTTCCGTCGACTAGTTGGCTCAATCGGTTAGAGCGATAGTTCGGCAGTCTGAAGTTCTGGGTTTGAATCCAGGTAAAGCCCCTCAGTGATTTGTTTACACTCAGAACACTATTATAACCTCTGTTGTTGATTATAAAAAATTTCCCCATCTTTATCATTTCTCATAAAAGTCCCACAAGGTATGGTGTTCTTTTCAGAAAGATTGATCAAAGTTATAATCATGCTGGAAAAACCAGTTTCCAATAATTATTTGTAGTTACAGTTTTTGGCAGTGGTGTGGGGATCCTTACAGAAAGATAACTCAACTGATCTCTCAACGACATAAAATCCAAATCTAAATGTTCACAGATTCTTTTTTATGTTATTTTCTTTGTTCCTTTACCTATTAGCTGTTTTAAAAATGCCTCCCCATCATACGTTAACTTCTTGGTAGACATATATACCCAGCCTCTTACCTCTAACTGTTCACTTCTAGGATTGAACAAGTTAAAACAACTTTTCCCTCTAGGTGGTTGTTTCCACGGCCACAACTCAATGGCAAAGGAAAAAGGAATCTGAAAAAAAGTGAAAAAAATAAAATGCCAGATTCGTGTGTTGTATTTGTTTTATAGAATTATTCCAGGTACTTTAGATTTTATTTTAATTTTCATCTGTGAATTACAGCACAAGATACAAATATTTTATTGAATTATTCCAGGCACTTTAGATTTTATTTTAATTTTCATCTGTGTATTACAGCACTAGATACAAATATTTTATTGAATTATTCCAGGTAATTAAGATTTTATTTTAATTTTCATCTGTGTATTACAGCCCTAGATACAAATATTTTATTGAATTATTCCAGGTAATTAATAATTTATTTTAATTTTCATCTGTGTATTACAGCACTAGATACAAATATTTTATTGAATTATTCCAGGTACTTAAGATTTTATTTTAATTTTCATCTGTGTATTACAGCACTAGATACAAATTCTTACTTGTTTTCTCATTTGAACTGCACAGTTAAAGATATCTAGTTACTAAGATCGACAAACGGAGAAAGAGAGAACCATTGTCCTTGGCCCAAGTTGCTCAAAGGTTGGTTAGAGGTAACCAATGGATACGGAAAATTTGAACATAATGTAAGGACATCTTACATGATTTCACTGCAAATATAGATTTGTTCAGACATATCAGATTGATGTGTTTTGATGACGTAGTCTGCTTTGAAAGCCTCTGTATTTTAGTGTTAACAATTGAATTTTTCACTATCCATGGTTAAAGAAAACCAATCTTTGAGCAACCGGGGCCTGGTTGTAAGTGAATTGTAGTAGATATCTACAATGGACGCCCGATGGTATTAACCCCCACATGCACTCCATCAATGAAGGTAAACACAAATGATAAGGAGGATGGAGCAGCAACATCTAGATTTCGTAATTTATTTACGGTTTACATGTTTCGGATCAGAACAACGTTATACAATTTTTCAATTGACTGAAGTAAAAATCTAGTCATTGTGAGAGTTTATCAACAGATGTGTATATCATATTCTGAGTTTGTACAGGGTTTAACGGCCTATCATTAGCTAAGGTAACTTTAGGAAATGCCTCCAGGTGTGTTGTGCTTGCATACATGTGTGTATGTATGCCGACGGCAGCAGAGGTTTCATTTGTAGCCAGTTGCTGGTAAAAATACCCACCTTCTACAGATATTTCACTGGCTACTTTCATGAAAAAATTTGAAGAAACAAAGTGCCATGAAAATGTACTAAAATTAACCGTCATCTTTTTGTTGGATACACGTACATAAACTTGAAATATTATTGAAACCTCTGGATAAGTATAATAGTGTTTTAAAACATATTTACCATTCTTGATCCAGACATGAAGTCGAAGATTGTCCCGTCAGCTGTGTAGTGGTTAAGCGCATAAGAATGACCATAAGTGTATCCACGTTTAGTTGCATGCGACAATTCAGAAGCTAAATCCAGCATATCTTCCACATTGTAAGGGCGACGCTTTTCCAACTTTGATTTTGTGTCTGCAATTAAAAATCAGGAAACTTGATAATGACTTACCACTCAATTTAATGTATTTCGTATCTTTACATGTAGTTTGTATTTCTGTGGGTTTCCATTCTTCTTGGCAGATTTCTTTTATACACATTTGACAAATTATGATAAATAACAGACTTTCTGGCCAGGTAAGCTACAAAATTATACTTTAAATTATACAACGCTTAGGACAAAGATCTGGACAAAAATATTGACTAGGAAAATAGAAAATTGTGAAGCTTGAATAAATACCTGCATATGGAAGATAAATCTGATTGATCCCAGAGTGAAAGGAGACAAAAGCATCGAATGTGTATTTCAGCGTCAGCTCCCGAAACACTTTCCCCTCTGGTTCTGGAAATGAACATGGAGAAAAAAACATGACATGGAGCCTTTCCTGAATTTTTTACATTTCTAATAAGTGCCAATTATAAATAATTGTATTCGGTCATTTTTTATACGTACATGCCAGCCTAGTATTGAGGAAGGGTCAGTTTGGTCTAGAACCAAGAACATAGCTGTCAACCCTCCCTCATTAGGAGGGAGACTCCTTCATTTTGACCAAAAATTTACCAATCTCACTCAAAACTCCCTCAATCAAGTCCAAACTCACACAAATTCAAAATCTAAATCCTGTGGTCAAACGATCTCCTAGTTTGTCCATGCAACAGAAGATTGGTGCCAAGGGAACACCTTCGAAAACAAAGTGTAGTTAGGAAAGAAAGATACAGCAAAGAGGTTGTTATTTCAATAAATCAGGATATTGTGCGTCATTTTTCAATCATTGGAACTATGTAGAACAGATAACATCTATGCATGGATGATTATGTGGTGATCTTGTCCATGCCCCAGCTGGTCATCAACAACAGTACATATCAGTGACTTATAGGCAAAAAATCACTACAAATACATAGGAAGCACCTACTTTACGTTTTAATTATAAGTCTCTATGCAGAATGCCAAACAAAGTAAACACTTTCTGCAAAACCTATTTAAAAATTCGCAACAATTGAAAACCTTTCTTATGATAACTTCCACTACAAGAATGTTAGAGGGTGGTCAGTCTAAAAGATCTTCATCTTTTCAAAGGATTGCGAGTCTGTCTTCTTCTCTTTTTGTGTGCATGTACATATCATATGCTCTCACGACAAGAGTTACTCCCCCCTACTCTGTGTATAGAGTAGAAATTGTAATCGGTTCCTAACTCACCTGAGAAAGGTTGTTCACCCCTATATTCCTCATCATACGGATCAGATGAACTGCCCTTGCCACCAAACTCCCAGTCAAAGTTGCGGTCAAGGTCGACCCCGGTGCTAGTTCCACGCCAGCAGTAGTTACTTTTCTGTTCCAGCAGGGTGCGGCCATCAGGATTCGCCATGCCAATGATGAACAGATCGACCTTTGACAGTATTGACCTTGTGAACTGTTCAGCATAGCTGCCAGGCACTGACGACAGCCCTGCTGTTAGATTACTGAGGAAAAACAGCATGGATTCAACGGGAAGGAACTCTCTAGCATGTTCCCCAAATGAAAGGAGGACCTTTAATTTTGGTGTCATGGTGTTTTTAAACAGCTGAGTTGATGTACTCCCAGTAAAATTTGTGATGTGGATGACCAGCTGGGATCGGCCAAGTCGAGAACGATAATTGGTATCTATTCTCATGTAATTTGTATTCCTTTGAACAATTTCATTGATTTTATTTTCTAGAGATGAAATGTTGTGATAAAAATTGTAGTTTGGTAAATATATTTCCTTCTGTGGTTTGACATCAATACCCTTCACAATGTTGTCCACTAATAAATTGATAATTAGATGGAGAAGAACAATAAAGAAGATCTTGTGTGGAGCCATATCGTTGTTATAGCATCCTGCAAGAAAACAACAACTTAAGTTCAAAATGCAGCAAAAAATATTTTTTGAAGAATATTCTGTCCTTACTCTTCAATCTTTATTTGATAGCTATTGAATAATTAGTTTTTCATTATTTGACAAAAGAATAACAAGCAATGTATATGATAAAGAAGCAGGAATTTTTATCATTAAGTTATTATAATATTTCTACAACATCTGATGATATCTGTAAGAGATCTTTTTCTTACTGTATTTTCAAAATACCTTTTTTTTCTCTGCATTATCAAACCTGGAACAACCTCCAAGAAAATGTGGTGTTTTTTTTAGCACCAACAGTAATCACTTTTTAAAATGGATATATATAGAATTTATTTAGTTTACATCAATTACGAAACAAGTTATTTCAACTAATATAAATCAATCTTGTTGCCCCCAATGTCAATGTGTGTGGGGGGGGGGGGGGTCTTAATGTGGGAAGAACTGGATTATCTGGAAAAAAAACATGTGGTCAAACAGGTGACCCCATTCCCTTTCACGCCCATTCAGGGAATTGTATCCTGGCCAGTCCTTGGTGAAAGGCGAGTGTGTTGTACGCTACTCCAGCCAACCACCGGCCTGACATGGAATTGATCAGTATTTGAGAAAATAGCAATCTGATTAAAATACAGCTTCTCATTATACTATCCTGCTACAATCGTATGACGAGTCATCTTCGCTAGACCTTGTATCATAAATAAACTTATGGATATTGGTTGATCAGAGGATATAATTATATCAACCAGAGAAAAAGATGATTTTTTTTTCAGTCCATATATCCACATTCTTTTTCACCGATCAACATATATCCTTTATCATATTATATATGAAATTGTGCTGTTTTTATCTTTAGACAAGATGAATGGGAGAAATTGTCAAGGGAAAATTTCTGCATTTGGCAGAAATAGTTGTGACATTACATTTTTGAGGGAAGTCATACAGAGAATAAGGAGCTGTTGTTTTTAGAAAGAGAGACATCGAGTCGAAATACTGAATTGGACCATGTACATCTTGTCCAAGATATATGACCTCCTTATCTAACAATGGATACAAAGATTTGGTAGGTGTCTCTCCGACCCAGTCTTTTTTGCAACTATTAACACTGTAACAGCTAGGAGAGGGAAAATGCACAGGGCCATGCAAATTCGGATTTGTATCGAGGAACCTCTCAAGGACAATCTAACCATCGAGGGGAATCACCAGACCCAGGTATACAAGTCAACTCTTGTTATAATCAGAAGGAATAAGCCTGTGACAGCACCCTATCATGTGGACAAATTTATAATTATATATGTTGCAGCATTTTCCGTTTGTCACCAATTGTTTGAACATTACGGACTTGGATAACAATCTAATTCTGTGGAAATATACAGAATAGTCCGAAAAAACCCAGTTGATTATCAAGTCCCTGTGTCATGTACGATTCTGACTACATGATACATCACACGAGTACGATGGGCAGGCTAACGTTTTTTCTAATCTTTTAACTTAAGTGATGAGGTATGTACAAAACTTCATCAAGATGTTTATTTTTGCAGGTAGATACTTGACGAGGCGAGTCAAAATTACGCTTGATCGATATACACAAGGTATTTATTTACAATATTTATAGCAACTACTTACGAATATGTAATAAATATAAGTAATCAGAAGTCTATAAAGCCGTATCGGTACACTTTCTCCTGTTACCAACGTGTAGGTAGACGGTCCAAGTTCACGATCGTTGCAATGCAAAAGCACCTGTCTGTCTATTTACAATCCTGTTATAATTAGCCACAGTTGCGTATATGTGCGTTGAACTATTTACCGAAAAGGACTGACATTGGATTTATTTAATACGTCTTGGGTTTAGTCCTGGGTTTTAAGACTATTCGGAGAGTGTCCGTGAAAGAAGATGTACATTCAATGATACAGTTAACGGTGTCTCCTTACTTAATTATCTTGTCCGTATATTACATACAAATTAAACTAACCACATGTAAATCTGTACTGTAAGGGAAGTAACTCGAATTGATATTTTTTCAACATAGAACTACGTGATACGTTGCTCCGTCAAAATTTTTAATTATGCGACCAGAAAGAAAACATAGGTTAGAACTAGAAAATGAACATGGATGTAATGACTAGCATAATATCGGTTGGAAGATTAAAACAATACAAACAAAGAGGTACATGTATATCTGTTAATATTACATGTGGTGTTTCTTGAGTCCCGATTTAAAGACATTCAGAGTCTGAGAGGAAAGATATTTGGAGGAATAGAGTTCCGGAGGGAGACTGAATATGGAAGCTAGGAAGCTGAGCTTAGAATAGTCAGTTTTTGTCTGGAAGATTTTGATATTGGCATTGGTTGTCTTATCTAGTGTGTGTGACTTAATTGGTGTTTTAAGTAGTTGTCAGGATTAATGGTTACGAAGTTATTTTTGATTTTGTATAACATACATGGTCACTCTATAGCTTCATTTCGCCTGCTTTCTAACAACCTATTTGCCGTGCCGCTCTTCTCTGTACCCTTATGATGTTTTCTTCATTTTGTTTTCGGTGAGTATTCTAGATTGGATCTTACCATAGCTTTATATGCTGTTGCCTTGGTTTCCCGACTATTAATTTCTAAGTTAATCCAAACATTTTGTCGGCTTTGGATGTGATTTCGTAAATGCGTTTGTCCCAGCTCATATTATGAGAAAGGGTTACTCCAATCACGGAATTTAAGTCCGTGCTCCAATTTAAGGTATTTAGAGAATTGGACATTTTCAAGCGTATGGCCATTACGACTGGGACAAAACATCAAGTAAGATGCAAAGGGAAACCAGGAAAGCACAAAACTCCTATGTAAATAATCCCAATACGTTCTGGAGCTATGTCAAAAGCAAAAAAAAATAAATAAATAAATAAATAAATCTTCCAACATCCCCCCCCCCCGCCTATTAGAAATCCATCAGATGGTATCATCTTCTCTGAACCTACCAAAAAAGCCCAAATTCTGAACCATCAATTCCACTCATTTTATACTTATGAAAATTTATATAACATTCCACAATTTTCTGACAGTAAATTCTCTTCTATGCCAGATTCCACAACTTCCTGACAGGAAATTCTCTTCTATGTCAGCTATTAAGATAAGTGAACCAGGAGCCTTAAACTGCTCAAGGGACTGGAGGTACACAAGGCATCTGGGCCCGACAGCTTTCCATTGGAAATATTAAAAGAGCTTGCTATAGAAATCACACCAGCGCTAACAAAAATATTTCAAATTTCACTAGTGCTCGGTTCCACAAGACTTGCGCAAAGCGCATATTATCCCTGTCTTTAAAAAAAGGGACAAGCGACTGCACAAAACTATCGCACAGTCTCTTTAACTTGTATCACCTGTAAACTGCTGGAACAATGGTTTACATAATAACTATCCTTACTAAATTTCAACACGGCTTTCGATCAAAACACTCCACAGAAGCATGACTCATGCTGATCGTAGACGATATACTTTTAAAGAACATAAATAAATAAATAAATAAATAAAACACAAACAGATATTGCTCTACCAAACTTCTCTAAAGCGTTCGATAAGGTTCCTCGTGAACGCCTTCTTTCTAAGCTCCACTAGTAATTCTACGGAATTAGAAACAGTACTATTTCATGGATCATGTTATTCCTAAAAAATAGAAAACAACAAGTACTGCTAAATGGGATTAAATCAGACAAAGCCCCTGTCCAATCCTTGGAGTGTAATCAACATAATCAAATCACTATACTGGGTATCACTGGCAAAAAGGAGGGCAAAAGCCAGACTAAGTATGATGTACAGAACTCTTAACATCACAGTTGCCGTTATTCCAAACGAGCACATTGAAATATCTGACCGCTGAACCAGGGGAGCAAACAAAATTCAGCAGATTTCCACTAATAATTACTAATACAGAAATTCAGTTCTCCCTAGGACTATTAGATCATGGAATGCACTACCAGAACATACAGCTCAGCCACCTGACTTGAACTCTTTCAAAACAGCTCTCTCTGACTACCAACCCAAAACTACCCTCTGCTACAACCAAATCTTGGGAGTTGCCGAAACTCTTGCTTGTACATGCCTTCTGCCAGTATAAAACATACTTTCTTTTGATATCTCATCTCATTGAATCTATATTATATAATTTGTATTTTGTCGGGTATCATTTTCATCTGCAAACAAATCATTATAAAATGTGTTATTACACAAATGTCACCTCCAAGAACACATGATTGCGACAATTGTATTCACGCCTTTGAGATCTGTCGCAGTCATCAGAAGAATAAGAAGAGTAAGAAGTCTGGTTTGGGGTTCTTATCTAGATACCGAAGAAGAGGTGCATTTACTAGGGTGAAATTTTATGCCCCATGATTTTTCTCATATAGTTAGAGAGTAGATATCGTTTTGAAGTGTGCAATTGTTTAATCGATAGAAAAAAAATGTGCCTGTAAAGAATACAGTCATTGATATGACTGCATTTTTATCAGCAAATAGGCGTATTTTAGAGTTAACAGAAGAGAGAAAATCATTTATAAAAGACAAAAAATGAGAGGTCCAAGGATTGAGCCTTGAGGGACACCGCTGATTACCGGTAACTGACTTGATCATTCACCATCAAGGATCACCTGTTGAGTATACGGGAGTTCAGGAAGGATTCAATCCACTTGTGTGTGTTACCTTGTACCCCATAGCTGCCTGGTTTCCTGAGCAGACGCTCATGAGAAGTCAAGTATAATAAGGTCATTTTGGATCCCGTTTTGCATGTTAACGAGCAACTCGTGAATCAGGACCAAGCAGCGGTGATTCACAGCTGTGATTCGCTCTAAAGCCATGATGACAATCAACTATACTTGTCTAAATGGTTCAAAATGTTGGAAACAACTACATATATATGCTCCAGGAGTTTCCCAGCAGATGGCCTGTAGTTGCTCAGGGTGTATGTATCCCCTATTTTGAAGACTTGCATGACATTTGCTGATTTCCGTTCATTTGGGACTTCGCCTGAATACAAATCACTAGTAAACTGTACGAACTGAAGAACGAGAAAAAAATATGCCCTCTTAGGCCCAAAGAATGGTGTCCATATAAAGACAAACCAGGTATATATAAACCAACACACTTACCATATGGAAAATATATGGTTGGAGATGATCTTGGAGTCGATCTTCGAAATGACCTTCAGAATTTTTTTTTGACAATTTGATAATAGTTCAAGAGGAAGGGAAAAGATGTGGAGAATGGGAAGTACTCAAAGCAATGACAGCTTTAACAGGATTGTGGCTTCCAAAACCCCCAAAACTTATGCAGGACAAGAAAGCACTACTTTTAGAGTTGCCACAGCTGTTGCACAGAAAAAAAACCCATTGGCCACTCAACTATAGCATATTTATTCCATGTTTTACTACAGTCAACTGTTTTTATTCATGTTTGTAGTCCATAATGTATTTTATTTATTTAACACATACAGTGTGTTTTTTATATCAAACTTTGGATTAAATACTAAGTAAAAAGGCATTGTGGGATAAGTATGAAACTTTTACAGCGTAAAAGTAGAAGTTGAAGAACGTAAGTGAGCATAACCCCTGTAATTCCGAGGATGTTCAGTCACTGAAAACGTGACATTCTTATGTCTGATTTCAACATTTCTTTCTTTCCTTTTTTCTTCTTCTGAGATTTGTTTATTAGTTCTTAAATTAAAAGTATTGACTATATAACATTCAAGGGACTAAAAGTGCTCACGCTGATTCTTAATCATCTGCACCTTTTGAAACGCAAGAACCTCGACATTACCGGACTATATTGAACCTGATGAAAGACTATTAGATATATTAAATGTTGTAGATAAGAATGAAGATATTGATAATATGAACTGTGTACGTCAACTTATTGAGCAAAAAATCCCCCTTCAAAGATATAGTCAAGATAAAGCCCGACAAAATAGATATGGGAATCTGCTAATTGAAGTATGTAAAAGATCATCTCTTTTTATTGCAAATGGTCGAATATGTAAAGATAAACACATAGGAAGAACGACATGAAAAGATACAAGTGTAGTAGATTATCTTATAGTAGATAGTTCAGCTTTTAAACTTGTTTCAGAATTCGAAATATGTGATTTTAACCCAATGTTTTCGGACGTTCACAATCAAATCCACTTTGTGTTAAACTTTACATGCGATACACAACCCCCATTAGATAAGAAAGAGGATAACTTTGATAATAAACGTGTAACATGGGACACATCCAAAAAAGATGAATTCACACAGGCACTTAATATAGATGTAAATCTTGAACTCCGCGATATTAGCACCGCTATAGACCAAATGAATGAACGTGATAATGTAAACTGTGAACAAATGAACGCGGTGGTTAATGACCTTGGTCAATTTCTTATTAAAATGGCATCTAAAGTGTGTGGAACACAACAAAAAAGACGTAAAGGAAAAGTAGATATGAATAAACCGTGGTTCGATAAATATTGTAAGTTAAAAAGAATTGCCTTCAACAAGATCAAGAATAAATATAAAACAGACAAATCATGCACTACTAAAACAAATATGAACAAAAAAGGTAGTGAATACAGGAAACAACTTCGAATAAGTTATAAAAAATATCAAGAAAGATGTATTAAAGAGCTTCGCTCGTTATCTAAATCTAATCCAAAATCATTTTGGAATACCATAAATAAATATTCTTCAAATAAAAAGAAAACTACAGATATACCAATAGATACATTGTATCGTTATTTTATGTCATTGAATGCAAAGGATGATGATGATGAGGAGGATATTTGTGTAGATGATGATGATGATGATGAGGATGACCATGAGGATGAGGATGAGGATGATGATGATGATGATGATGATGATGATAGTTGTGTAGATTATGATGATGATGATGATATTTGTGTAGATGATGATGATGATGATGATGATGATGATGATGTAGATGATGTAGATGATGATGATGATGATGATGATGATGATGATGATGATGATGATGTATTAAATGGTAGAATAACAGAAGAAGAAATTAAAAAAGCATTAAAACAGCTTAAAAATGGTAAGGCTCCTGGAATGGACAAAATATTAAATGAATATTTAAAATATTCTCCACCAGAGATGATAACTATTTATTGTACCTTGTTTAATGTTATATTAGATACTGGTATTATACCAGAAAACTGGACTATTGGTATAATTAAACCGATGTACAAAAATAAAGGGAATCCAGAAGATCCTGACAATTATAGGGCCATCACGCTCATAAGTTGTTTGGGTAAGTTATTTACATCTATCATAAACAATCGCTTGAACCACTTTGGAAAACAGAAGAACTTGATATCAAGTAATCAAGCGGGGTTCCGAAAGGGACACTCGACTGCTGATAATGTTTTTATTTTACATATATTAATTTCACTCTATCTTAATAGTGGTAAAAAACTTTACTGTACTTTTATCGATTTTCGCAAAGCGTTTGACACCGTGTGGAGAGCTGGGTTGTGGCAAAAAATGCATAATAGTCGTATCAAAGGAAAATGTTTTCAGATTGTTAAAAATATGTATAGTAATATTAAATCATGTGTACAATACAATGGAAATACGTCAGATTTCTTCCCGTGCCTTATTGGGGTAAGGCAGGGGGAAAATCTTTCACCGTTCCTTTTCTCTTTGTTCCTAAACGATTTAGAAACGTTTTTTAAGTCCCTTGAATGTGTTCCGCTAGAAATGGTGAAAGAAAAAATATCTGATGAACTGCATATTTTAATTGAAATTTTTGTCTTGCTATATGCAGACGATACACTTCTTTTTTCGGAAACTCCAGAAGGATTACAAAATGCATTGAATATTTTTCAAGAATATTGCGATATATGGAAATTGAAAGTAAATACTGATAAAACTAAAATTATGATATTCTGCAAGCGGAAAAGTAACCAAAATCATGTCTTCTTTCTCGGAGACGTAATAATTGAGATTGTTGATTGTTTTACATACTTAGGTATTATATTTAACTATAATGGAAATTTCGCTAAAGCGCGACAAAAACTGATTGATCAAGCTCAAAAATCATTATTTGCACTTTACAAAAAAAATCGGAATTATGCGCTTCCGATGGACATACAAATTAAGCTTTTTGATTCTGTTGTAGAGCCAATATTACTTTACGGCTCAGAAGTGTGGGGTTTTGAAAATTTGAAAACGCTAGAGCAGACGCACCTGAAATTCTGTAAGAGAATTTTAAAAATCAGATCTAGCACTCCTACTTTTATGGTATATGGAGAAATCGGTCGGTTCCCAATGGAAATAAATATTAAACTTAGAATGGCACGTTTCTGGAATAATTTAATCGATACGCGTAATGAAAGTAAACTCAGCAGTATATTGTTGAGATTGGCACTTAATTTACACGACACTGAATCATATTCTTTTAAATGGGTTAGTAAAGTTAAAAGTATTTTTGATGAATCAGGTTTTTCATACATTTTTGAAAATAAGATATGTATGAATAATATGTTCTTTAAAAATCACCTTAAACAAAGACTTCGAGATCAATTTATACAAAACTGGTTTTCCGAAGTTCATAATTCGTCGAGAGGAGAATTCTACTCAATGTTCAAGTGTGAATTCGGTTTTGAAAAATATTTGATAAAATTGTCAGAAAATAATAGATTACCTATTACCAAACTACGTACGTGTAATTTGAAATTTCCCATTGAAACTGGGAGGTGGCAGAATATTCCAAAAGTAGATAGGATATGTAACCTTTGCCTTGAAAATATTGGAAATGAATTTCATTATCTTTTTACTTGTAGTAATGTGGAAGTGAAAAATTTACAAAGAAAATACGTTCCAAATTACTATCGTACAAATCCAAATGAAAATAAAATGAAAGGTCTTTTGTCAATATGTCACGAACAAATTCTGAAAGGATTATCAATTTTCCTAAAGAAATTGATTCCTTTACTTTAAGCTAAAACATAAACATTATACATATACTATTACTTGTTGCTTCTATAGGTCCATAATATTGAAGCACATTATGAGTCTATATCACCGATATGTACAAATCAATATGTAAAGTAGGTGACTATGTGAGTATTTTGGATACGGAAATGTATACATATGTGCGTGTGTGTGTATATGTATCCGGGATGTAGTCATATGTTTGTGAATATATGTGTGTATGCGCGTATATACGAAGGCGTCTGTTTGTTGGTATGCATTGTATGTGTATGGATGTGCATATATATGTATATGCAAAGGTCTGGTTATATGCGTGGCTATCTACATATATGTATGCATTGCTGTGTCTAATTACGAAATAGTTCATTTGTACAACATGTTATCATGCATATATATATATATATATATATATAAGTATCTTCATATACATGCATGCACCTGTCCATCCTGTCATAATTTAAATATATGAATTCATGTACATGTACCTCATGTTACACATTTTCATGTGTCTGAGTGTTGGAAATAAAATCTGAAATCTGAAACCAGAAACAGTAATGTTTGTTTTATGACACTAACCTTAACAAGTCTATAAATTCCTAATGTCGCCGTCGGCACATTTCTCCCTCAGCCTATACATAGCGGGTTTCCAGGCCAAGTCTGGATCTGACGTCACGTTTCTACCCCGACCTACGTCATACCAGGGACGTATACTCTATATACTGTCCCTGGTCATACCCAGACTTGGCCTGGAGACCCGGTCCTGGCATGCAGGTACAAGCAAAACATGTAAGGTTGATTACTGCGCATATGTTGTATATTGTACAATGTGGCCGACTGCAGGAAAATTCTAGACATATATTATTTTTGTCAAACTACAGATTGTTTTGATATCGTTATTGATATAGCATTTGATATACATTTTGTTTTTAATTCGTGGAACAAAAATAGACTTTTGTTCAACATTATGCCATTTTCAATTGATATTTAAAGCATAATTTGAGAAATTAATGTTGAAAATGTGATGTTTTACCCAAAATAGATATACAAATAGTGATTTAATTTTACTTATGACGGAACAACTTAACGTTTGAACAACTTATCGTGGCTGGATCCTTTTGTAGATCCACGTGGCTAGTTTTTTTGACACGGATTGTGTATTACTAGGTTGGTGGTAATGGGGCCTACTTGAATTGTCAAAGCAAAGAAAAATGAAATGTTATTATGGTTTCAGTATTATGAATGTTTTGGTTTGATGCGTATATTTATAAAATTATAGAAAAATAAACTCTAGAACAAATATATAAAGTCTTAAATATGTGAAATAAGGATAAACTAATACTAAAACTTTGCGACATTTCGGTTGTTTTCTACAATATTTTCAAGATAAGATGACATTTTTTTTCGATTCCGGCGTACATGTATGTTTTTGTTTCGGAGATGTTAATTGAAAAACGAAATAATATGAATAAAGCCACATGATTTTTATCTCAAAATAAATAAAACAAAAGTAAAGTTTGCTGCTTTAACCAGTATCTATGATTTTTCGCAAAGTTTTGTCTGCTTTCGTACGAGATGACGTCATCTTTTTGTCATGATGTTGGAGTTATCTCCCTTATAACGTATTATTGGACGACTGGATACAAAATAAGGATTCGAATGTAAACATAAGCATGTATTATTTCAATAAATGTTACATTGTTAAATACGTATACCGTATTTAAGAACGCAGAACGAATTGTAAATAACAAAAGTTAAGGAAGACCGGTTTACCATTTACAGGTAATGTCTGTATATAAAGATATCACAAAACGAAAGTGGAAAACCCATAAAACCTAGCCAGCACAGTAACTTGGTCAGTGTTGGCAGTGGCAGATTATTAATCTTCTATGCCATATGGAATAACATACAAACCTGATATTCATCATGGCCCAATCCGATGAGTTGGAAATTATCGAGGGTTGGTACGGACCATATCCTGATGAAATGCTCGAGGTAAATAGTCATATTTATATATAAGGTTTCGGGATCAGGTACACTCAAAAGGAGCTACTTTGTAGTTCTTATCGTCTAGTTTGGTCGTCCTTCCATTTTCAACTGTTCAAATACAAACATAATATCATGGCATATTATGACGTTTGCTACGAAATGAAATGGATCACAGTGCTCAATCGACACTGCTTCTTATTATATTCAGATTTGTAAATATTTATTGCATACAGCTAGGTTCAGAAGGTACAGCCATTGACATGTCAATCTGTGTGAACTTTCGATTACTTTTGTTCGAAATGTACTTTAGTAAAGCACAGGTATACCTTGTAGGATGAGAATAATTTATCGAGAGACACTGTAGGTGATATGTCAACATACTTAGGAAGCGTACAGGTGAGCGAGCGTTCGACTCCACTGTAGAGAATATGGACACACAAAGGAAGCGTACAGGTGAGCGAGCGTTCGACTCCACTGTAGGGAATATGGACACACAAAGGAAGCGTATAGGTGAACGAGCGTTCGACCCGATTGAACAACACTTGTTTAAATTGAAGAAAATGTTGTTTTCTGTAAATGTTTAAAAATAGGGTATACAATATTTTTGTGTGTGTCAATTTGGCAATTGGCTTTGAGTCTTTCGGATTATATCAGGGGCCTGAGCTCAGGGTAAATGTAAATGTAAATGTAAATGACCGTAAATGTTAGCGATGTTTTCCAATGTTAACTATTTCTACATCATTAAGATATGCAACATCATTTTGGTTTAAAAAATCGTCAAGATCATTCAGGTATAGGGAAAACAAAAAAGGGGATAAATTTCCCCCTGTTTTAATCCGACATTGCAAACGAAAAATTCCAAAATTTCGTTTCCATTTTTAACACATGACTTGGTATTAAAATATAAGTTTTCGATAACCTTAAAACCTTTTCCATTTAGGTTACTTTTTCACATCTTTTGCCATAACCCGCTCGCCAAACTGTGTCGAACACTTTACGAAAATCAATAAATGTACAGTACAGCCTTTTCCCTTGGGCAAAATATGTGTTTATTAATGAGTGTAATATAAAAATATTTTCAGTCGTCGAGTAACCTTTTCTAAACCCTGCATGAGAGGGAGAAATTAGGTTAATTTCATCAGCTAATTTAGTTAATCTATTATTGATGATATCAGTAGACACTTTCCCCAAGCAAGACACTAGAGTTATAGCTCTATAGTTGTCCGGGTCGCAAGTTTCTCCTTTATTTTTATAAATAGGCTTAATTATTCCAACTGTCCAAGAGTCTGGGACTAATCCAATATTTAGTATACTGTTAAACAACATTGTATATAACGGCATGAAGTTAGTTAATGTACTCTTGATATGCTCATTTAAAATGTTATCATTTCCACATGCTTTGTTATGTTTTAAATTAATTACCGCATGTATAATCTCTTCCTCTGAAATATCTTCGTCTACTATTTGGTAAAAAGTACTATTTTCTTGTTCGGGAATATATATGTTATCATCATCCCGGTCATCATTTGAATTGTTCAGCTTTTTGAAATACTCAAAAAGTTCATTTATTGGTATGTCAGCTTTATTAGATTTAGCTTTACCAGATAATTTATTTATTAAATTCCATAGTGTTTTGGGATTACTATTTGCAGATTCCCTGATATCCCTTTCCATTTTATGCTGATATTCCTTAAAACACCTATTTCTTTTCTATATTGTTTACTCTTATTTCTCAGGTCTTTTTTGTTAATTTGATTTTTCACTAATTTATACTTACTCTTGGTCAAGTGAAACTCATTTCTCAACTTTCTACATTTTCCAGTATACCATGGTTTATTAGTTGTACATTTACTACTCTTGCGCATGTCTGGATATCTTCTACCGAACGCCTTATTAGCTGACCTTGTGAAGAGGTTGCCTATTCGACTCACAATGTCGTTAAGTGCGGTTTTATTAATTTGGTCCACGGGTGTATCATGGAGTTGTTTTAATGTATCACTAATTTTGTTTACACCATCTTCATTATCGTTTTTTATTACGTCTACGAATATATTAATTTTCTCACAGTTCCATTTGACATAAGACATGCTAATAGAGCTGGGGTCACATCTGATATTAATGGGTTGAAATCAATAACTTTGAAATTCTTTTCTTTTCACTCCGATCCTGGGGTTGTCCTCTATTTAGTTCTTGGGGGTGGTGAAAGTCTCTCCGTGGGGCGAAGAACGGCTGGTGTGGAGGAAAAGACTGTGGTCGCTGGATAGGACCGTCAATAACTAATTTATCAGCTTTGAAGCTCACCTGTCGTCTCTGTCTCTTCGCCTCTTCGCCTCTTTGAAAATGGGAAACAGGGCACGGCGTCGTTCATTTATTTCAGCTGGAAACTGTTCATTTACACTAAATGGTTTCCCTACCAGTTTCTTGGGGTCAGCATCGAGAACCTTTTCACGATCCTTTCGGTGGGTGAATACGGCCACGAATGAACGCGGTTTCCCGTCTCGTCTCCTCTCCTCCTGAGCCTATGCACTACTTGGAAGTTTATTTCCGCATCAATTTCACGTTCCTCACGAATAAAAGTTTTAACAACTGTTTCTGTGTCTTCATTTAGGCACCAGTGTCCTGGATACCACCAATTATTTGGTTGTTACGCATGGGTCTTGTCTGGGTTTCTAGCATTTTTTCATTAAGATCGCCGTACGCTTGCCGAGCCATGTCCCGCTCACCCTCAACTTTCTCTATACGTTCTTCCAGAATAGTTTGGTCAAATTCCGCCCCGTGTATTTTCTCGCTATGTATACCGAACTCTTTTTTAACTTCAGATAGTTCACTATTTATTTTACCAAATTTTTGTTCGATGGTGTTCAGCCTTTGAACGACGATAGTGTCTAAAATGTCGAGCTTTCCTAGTTTGCGGTATATATCATTAATGACAGATTCCATAGTCGCAGGTATGGTCGGGGGAGGCAAGGAATTTGATTGGCTAGTTTGGTGGAATGAATGTGGTTTGTAATAACATGGTACCGGTGATCCCTGTAAATTAGCTGGAGGAGATGGAAGAGGAGAAACGGGCGAGGTTGGGGTACCGTAAATATCACCGTGAGCGCTCGCCTATATAACACTGGTGGGCCCGACGGGTGGCTGTCCCGGTATCGATGCACCCCTGCCAGGTGTAAAGTACATTTCATTACCTGTCCCGGTCCCGGTTGATTGCTTGTGAGGCGTCGATGACAATTTACGTTTCTTGGACTTTTCCCCCATATACGACTCTTAAAGTCAAGAATTACACCTCATGTGTTACAATAAGATTAATCCTCTTGAACTCTATATAAAAATGTTCACCTGAATCCCAACAGAGGCCGTTTAAACCTTCATAAATTTGGAGCCTTCATCACGCACCTGTACTCACTCCGCCATGTTTTCTCGATCTCTGACGTGCCATTTATAGACATTCGTTTGTTGTGCTGAGGTACAAATGCGGTCACGTGCTGCCCATATTCGAACCGTACTATAATTTGCAGTATAAAACGCAAAATTTTCATGGAATAATGTGTTTATTGGTTGTAAATCTAATTCCAACTTTGGAATGTCAATTCATTTATGCTTTGTTTATACAAAACAATTCTTAAACGTTTGCAAATCTGCATCAATTGTAGTTGTAGAAAATTACTTAAATTGTTGAGAAATTCATAAGAAAATGATGTAGTCGGTGTCAACTCTATTTAAATAAAAAGAGTATAACTGGTGTGTGTTTAATTGTAAATTTGGGTATAGTCATATGTTTCTTAATTGAAAATTTCTCAATATTCTTGAGTTTGTTTTAAATTGAGATTTTAATTGATTGCCTTCATAAATTCGGTTACATAAAAAAAGCATTTTTCTTTTTGTCTGGTAATGAGGTGATTTATTTAACTCTAGTTGAACATGTACAGATTAAATAGATGGCCAAGCTTAAGGCTCTCTGTCCCACTGGTCTGCAGCTTGTCGTATACACAGTGACCTATCGCCTGACTCCCCTTAACTTCTGATTGAATAGAACTTAATGCAAGCACAGTTGGACCACGACAATTCCGTTGACTAGGTAGCTTAATTAGTTAGAGTGATAGTATAACAATAAGACCAGGGTTCGAATTGCTATCCATCCCTGCTGATTGTTTTTATATTTGGACCACTGTTGTTGATAATAGTTTTGTTTACATCATCATTATTATTGTTTAATGAACCTCCAGCAAGGCTAAGGTTTCTTTTCTGTAATGATTTATCAAAATTATATTCATACCGAAAATAACCCAGTTTCCAATGCGCAGTAATTTTTTTTGGCGGTGGTACAGGGATCCTTTACTATTAACTCTAATTAAGCACGTGTGAAATGATGATAGTGTACACGTGCTCAGCTGGAGTTATTATCACTTGCGAATGACTTCATCAATAATTGTTGCATTAACATTTTTAATCTGATCGGCTGATGCAATTTTCGTTTTCGAATTATATTATGTAACGTGTGATAGGTTCAATCAATTTGCATAAGTTTTTGAGCGATATCTTCGTATAGGGAACAATGGTTATGAACGAATGTCAGTGCAGTATGTTATGTTCTTATTGTTACACTGTACTGTTGTATTACAGGAAATCAAACAGAAAGCAAAGAAAGATATAGGGGAAATGGACAAAACCATTAATAGACTGGACCAAGTTGTTCGTGTATGTCAGGACTTTCAAAGAAAAAATATTTCACTATGTCCGAAGTGTAGAGCTAGATGTTCTAACAAGAACAACGTCAGTGCAAAAACAGAACGTCCGCAAAACACGGATAAAGAACATTCAGAAAAACAAAATAAAAAAACTTTGGTCTCGCGCGTTAGCCATTTACCAGTTATTTCCAAAACACATGAGGACAAAATGAAAGACAAAGATTTTTCTACAGTATTCAAGAGCAAGAAGCCTAGTAGGAAAGGAGCGCAATCTTCTTCTACCGAAATGACGATCGCATCAGAGGATTTTCAGTTAGTTCTGGAAGCGAAAAATAGTGCGTTTGAAAACTTACATAAGAAAACAGCGTCAGAATACGAAAATTTGGAAATGTTTAATGCAAAACTAAAGGAGGAAAATGAGCACCTTCAATCAAAATTATCTTCAACCATGTTAGAGAACGAAAATTTGAAAATAGAAAACGGCAAACTAAAAGAGGAAAATGAGCAACTCGAATCAACAGTATCATCAAACCAGAAAGGATTAAAAGAGCAAATCACTGGCTTTACAAATCAGATTACCGAACAAAAGAAACAGATTGGAGAACTGGAAAACGATCTGGGTAAGTAGGATGTCTCAACAGTCTAATATTTTCAATTATGTATAATTTATAGATCTACATGATGTCATTTCTATTTTAGTCATTTATAATAAAAACAAAATATTGAAATCAAAATCGATTTTTAATATTTGCTGTTTTGAAATAAATTCAAAGGAATTTTCACAATTTTACGGCAGATAAAAAGGATGATGAATTGCGCATGGTCAAGAAGGAACTGGCCGAGGCAAAGCGTCCACGCGTAAAGGACATAGGTAATACGTCTGATAGCTGAACATGTTGTTTAATTCTATTACGATCAATAACGATAAAAACGAGCACAACTGCGCTTAAATGTTTTAGTTAACATTACTGATTACACTTTAACGAGAACGAGAAGGCACAAGCTTTCATTTCGGGTAATATACAAGTGCTATATGTCGAGTGTTCTTTTGTAACAGTCATACATTGATTCGCTATATATGCATTATATATTACAGGTATAACTATAAACCAAAGCTCATATTTATTAAGGATTAATACATATAAATAAATGATCAGTATGCCTCCCAAAACGTCAAATCAAACCACCATGGCCGACATCTAATACCTTGGATCAAATATATATTTGTACAAAACATCAAACAATAACTATCTGGTTTATAGATGTAGTGCCTTTTCACGTTAACCGTAAGACAAACAATATAGCACTAACTCAATACTTACAAATATAAACTGACTTTTGGTTTGTTACTTTGGACTAGTCCTTTGTTCCCATTTCTGCAAATACTGATGTTCGAAGTTACCAAGCCTTACACACTTTCTACTTTCTCCAGTGTTGGGCATACGAAGTGAGCGCAGCGGGATGGGTAAGACAATGATCGAGATGGTTAACAGGGAACTGTCGGGGCAGCTACAGAATATACTGGAGAAGGAAAACGTACGCCTGACAGTGAAACAATGTGCGGCAGCTACAGACGTTCCAAAGGGGCTGATGGCTGTCCTGTGTCTAGACATGTCCAGGGTGGGCACTAACATTAAGGACGCACTGGCTGGTATCAAAGGTAGGCTGACAACATTATTATTGGTTCTGTCTGGTACCATCAAGGTAATCTACATGTATATGTATATCGATATGTAAGATTTTTTTAACGTTTCCTTGATTGAGAAAAAGCAAATAAATCCATATAGTCTGCTGAAAGTTAACATTCACCCTTCATGAAGCTCTTCAGGAAACTCAGGAGCCCCGTGATCGTCGAAAGCTAATTTGCAACAAACGATTACGGTTTGTATATAAAATACTTACATAGCATAATCAATCATACACACTCATATTTTAAATATATATTGACACATAAACACAACACAGGAAGACACCGCAAATACAAATATAAGCAATGTGATTTTGTATTTACGTTACAGCTACTGAATATCAAATATCAAGTCTATCTTTAGTTGTCAGAAACAACAAATGTTAGCAACAATTTCGATACTAATTTATCATATATGTAAATATAACAATGTGTTCATTAATTGTTTGTTAAAAGAATAATAAAATATTGGCTTACAGGATAACAATATTTGCCAATTTTTCAGAAATATTCAACTTGTTTTTTACATTTCAAACCTTATTTTACTCGCCCAAACGATCCAGAATTCATGTACACTTTGTCTTCATGAGTAACTACTAAAATCAGCCAAACGCCCTCTTCCCGGTATATCGTTATGGTTAGTTATTTGTATTTCCATGTCATAAATAAACCTTTTTTTTCTCAAATGATCTTTTCATTTTAACTTATATTTGCTTGTTTGCCTTTTTCGACCCGTCGACCTGAGTCACGAGAGATTAACTGGTTGAATCAATAATATGTTTCACTAGGAGCGTACAAAAAAGGAGGTATGCTAACGCATGCATAGTGTATTATAGCAGCATCTTACTTCCGGTAATAGATGAGCGTTAACACTGTAGGGCCTTCCTGATAGTGTAACACTACCAAGAGTAACTTTTAACATTGATATAAAACAGTTATGTATTATTTGATGTTTCAGTCAACAGAGATGTGTTTGTCATCGTGTTTCATCATACCAGCAAGGAGAATTTATCATCATTGACTCCAACGAGCCTTCGCATCACCGGAAGTGAGCAACGACAACTCGGCGCCATCATTGATATGGTGTTCAGCAGTGACAGCGGTATATATGAATGTGACCTCAACACCACAGCTGTAGCAAACATAGCTGCTCTCATCACGAAATACTCATGAGTTCATTAACAATTTTAGAGTTTGCCGAACCGTGTATTCAATCGTCGAATCCCTTTTGGTCAACATGCAATGTTACATCCAGATATGGTCGGAATAATGACGATAATACATTTTTTGTATCGAGATTTTAAATGGGTAATGTCAGTCGCCAAAACGCAAACCAGGTTTTATGCATTCAAATCTTGGCCTTTCTAACCTTGATAACACGAATCCATATTTAACTTCATATACTGTACATATAAGTTTTTGTCAATATAAACAATATTCATTTGCTTGGCCAAAATCTTTTTTATAATACTGGTAGTAGCAAACAGAGAAATTAGCTTTATACACTTGTCTATAAATCATCATTTAACGATACTTTTGTATCTAGAGTTTGTCAGTTTTTGGAATGAGCGCTTAATACAGTTTGATATCGGTAGCGCTGACTGTTTACAATCATAAAGTTAATCAATACATTTCATTTTCATTATATACCTAAGCTTAATTTAAAGATTATTTCCGGATGATTTTCAGAAATTTCTTCGTTTGATAGATGTGCAGTGGTATGGTTGTTTTATTTTTATATAATTGATGAATTGCCACAACTAGCACCAGAAAAATCATATCTAATAGGTAAACGTTATTTATAAAAATAGCCTTCTAATAATAAATACTGATAACAGTAGTAACAAAATTAATACAGTCGAATTTCGTTCTCTCGAACTTTTATACTTCGGAGACCCCGTGTAACTCGAAGTATTTCTTCGGTCCAGGCCAAAACTCTTCTTTATCTGTGATATTTCGAACTCTGAAAACTCGAAAAACTCGGAGATCCCAAAGTGAAATACAGTATTTTTGGTTCTTTAACAGTTGTTATATGTAACAAATATGGAGTCTAGTGATTTTATAATAACCTACCGCTGGTAAGTAAAATCAGCATCTGCAGGTTACGTTGTACTTTTTTGATTACAGGTATGTTTCTATGGTAACATTGTTTCCACTGGATTACCCGTATGTTTCCATTTAACCCATTATTTTGAAAAAAAATATTGCGTGCGATTATATTTTCTAATTTCTTAGAAATATGATGACCTATGTCATTGTAAGAATTTATAAAAACGATATATGAAATTAATTTGAATTGTCATAAAAATTATACAGGATATAAAGACGTTTAGACATTGTTTATACACGCATGTCCAAATTAGCATGACCTATACATAAATATAGATAAGGGGAATTACTTTTCGGGCCTTTAAGGGACTATTAGCTTTAAGGTGATATGATATTTAGTTTGAAGATGTCTGGATCCTAACCAGTATGCTTGTTGTTGGAAAGTTAGGCTCCTTTAGGATATGAAGATTTTATTAAACATATTGATCCTGAAGACACTATTTTAAATGAGAAGTCGTTTATGTTCAAAAAATTGAAATTAACATAATTTCGAAAATTTCTTATCCTCCTGACTTGCAACAACAATGCATAAGTTGTGATAAGGCTTTAGAAAAACATGTGTTACCCAAATGGTATTCGCCTTACTTGGCCAAAACCTCAGGCATATTTTGTGATCAGTGTATATATTCCATTTAATATAAATTCTGTTGTAATGTACATATATCTTTCGATTACCTCGCTCAACTTACTCATCTGATAACATGATTGCTGAATTGATTGAATTATTTAAAAACCAACCGATGAATAGGCAAGACCTATTGATTTGTGATTATAATATTCAATTTACTGGGTATGGCTTACTACGGAGTAATCCATTGGTGTGAACATTTTGTTGTTAGATATCACGTTTTGGCCAAAGAGTCATCAATATGGTATACTTTCCAGCTACAAAATATCATAGCTGTATAATACCATCTACCATAATTAAAGACATGCGCGATATATCTAAGATAGTAGAAGAATGATAAACATTTAAAGTGTACGCATCAAAAAATGTTTTTATTTGGCTTCTTCTGTGGCAGGTAAATAGTTCAACATATCGATTTTTGCTTGGGATTACACAATGTACATTTGCACCGCAATAGCTGGTTAGGTTTTTCTCTATTCCTATAAAATATTTTTATTCAAGAGTTGTTTACAAGGTATAAATAAACTATCCAATTATTTCGTTTTAAGATTTTGATATTTTATTGATATTTTGTCTTTGAATAAAAGATAACGGAAATATGTCCAAGTTGAATAAAACTTGAAGCTTCCACAGACTCTTTGCTTAGCGTCAATCTAAGATTTTACCAATAATATGGCAATATTGGTTAATTTAAATATGATAATAATGGCGATCACACTACTATGCTCTATGACATCTGTACATGCGATTACTCAATTTATCGTCACGTTTAATTTATTTTCCTCGGAAGTCACTGACCAGTCAGTCTCCCTTCCCTTGCTTATTGAGTTTCTATATTAAAATTGATTCTTTACTCCAGCATCTGTTCTTGGTATCGTTTTCTTTTTGTTGTTTTTATAGATTGATCCAGATGACCAGTAAACTACGTAGTCCGGATTTCTACGATAGTGACAACATAAACCCAGCCAACGCTTTGTATGTAAGGCAAACATATTTAAGGAACGCATGCAAACTTTCTGCTGTAGGTAATATCCGATTTCTGTCGAAAGATAATATACTATACTCATATTAATTACTCATACTCGTATGGGTTTTTGAAAATAAGATCTTAACAATATAGTGTTCTAAAAGAAGTAATATAATAACAATATTGAAGGGAAAAACTTCACAAAACATCCATTAGAAATACGTTGTATTTACAAAGGAGGCATCTGTTAAACAATTATGTAAGTCGATACAGAAGCCACACAAATTTAGCATGTTTACTGCACCAAACAAAACATGCATTTTAAATGGAACTTTATTACTGACGTAAATCACCAAGGAAACGATTTTAACACACAAAATCAATGGGTACTGAATTTTTAGGCTTAGTTTCACTCTTATGCATAAATATATCTTAAATATTATCAAAATGTTAGCTGCTTTGATTTAACACGTAAAACGAAACTTTGAAGAGTTGGCAAAGGAACTATAGGAAAAAGATCAACAAATAATAAACATTTTAAAGAAAAAGTTTTTTTTGTGTATTTATCTTTAGATACTTCTCTTTTACCTTTTCCTATATCACTAGGTAAGGACACAGTCAGATAAAAAGGAATGGGTATCACTTTACCCGATAACTGGGTCGTGTAAAGCAAGGTACATGGTGTGTCGGTAACGTTTGCTGACTGAGCAATTCACGTCGACTATGTACATTGAAGTGTACTTACTATACTTTAAGAATCTGCATGTGATTATTATACCGATGCATGCTGGGATTACTGGTTCGGATAAGGGTTAATTGTTCGTGAAATAGTTATAAATTTTAACAAATTGTCAATTTAGTATCGTTGATTTGTCAATAAAATAAAGTTCAATATGTTAAGTATATTATCTTCAGCATCCGCGCGACACAACGCCCAGTGGGCATGATAGGGCACATACTATACTACTTACATAACATATATTAAAGCTTCTATATACATGTTTTTACAAAATACAAATAAAGAACAAAAAATGGATTCAGACTATGACACGATATGCGCTATAACACTCAAGGACCCATAGCACAATGACAAGGTAAAAAGTTAACCAAAGCCCCCAACATACTTCCTAGAACATCAGATAACAAAACGACCCAGAAGGTATGAGGAATCGTGCAATAACTTGTTCAATATACCGTATACTGGGACATTTTCGCTGCAGTTTTTCGCCTTGTTCGCCCTTTTCGCCCTACGTAATGCATGCGAGTTTATCATTACAGCGAACATTGGTTAACAACATAAGATACATATTAATGTGAAGGGTGAATTTAATTTTGGGTGAAAATGGATTTTACCGTACAAGGGTGAAAATTCCCGATATATAGTAATCAGAGAAAGGAAAGAAGGTGAGCTTAACACATGGACTTAAAGAATTTAAGTAAGCTGTAAAATTCTTTTGCTCTAGACAAATTTCAAACGAGCAATGAGTAACGTAAGTATTTAAAGATTTCTAGATTAAGCAAAGAGTAAAAAAAATATAATGTTTTTGGAATCTTAAAACCTTGATTAAATCAGCTAAGACGTTTACGATTTTAAAGAAAAACTTATGAACAACATTTTTAGTCACCCCTGAGGGAACCCCAGCAGGGACTATTAATTTTGGTTTCAGTCCCAGATTTTGAACTCCACTGTTTCAGCTTTCGTGTGTTTGCTTCTGTCGCTAATTACAAGCTTTTGGATAACTCCGATATCGATTTTAGGAATAGATCTAACATACAACCAAAAGGCGTTCCGAATTTCAAACTAAAGATGTTCCGAATATGAATCAGTCACCTTTGAGGTTACCGAAGGGGTAGACTGTTATATTATATATTGCTATTGATTGATTGAGATGTTTATGTCTGACCAATGACTATATTGGTAAAACTTCTTTTTAAACCAAAATAAATTTTAGAATAAAAAGTTCAGGTAGAAAAGCTCAATAACGTCTCTTTTTCTTTATCATCTATTCACGCAATGACAAGAGAAAACGTCACCTAGCAAAAGGGCAAACTTGATTTGACATGCCGGGTTTGTGTTTGCCGCCGGCACACTACATTAAAGCATACGCGCAATTTGGCGGACACAAACAACATTTTGTATCGCTTTGCATTTCTCTGCAGTCCGGCGAAACTTCTAATCGAACGGCAGGTGCCGAACATGCGGGATTTAAGGGACATTCGTAATCAGTAGGAAGGTGCCGCCTTCCCGGCGGTAAACGGCACGCCTGAATCAAGTTCGTCCAAAGTAAAAAGTTTACGACATTTATGGAAATTGTTTTATTTTTTTAATTTACATACCATTTTCAGCCGTCACATTATAATTTCAAAGGGTGATATGTTATAAATAAATGCGCCATCATTCAAACAAATATTTCATCAACATTCATATCCCGCCTGACAACGTTTACAACTTTAGGACACTTTACAACATAACACGTTACGGCAGAACTTGAAATGGAAAACCGGAAGAGTGCAGGGTCATGTAAGGTAAGTAGAACATTGCCATATTCAGAATTTATAATAAAAGCGCTCGACACCGTTTAATGTTATCGTTTCTGCGGTGTGGTGGCAGTGGTGACCTCGAGGTACCGGCAAAACATGGTATTGACATTGTATTCATTTTGAGCAAGATAAAAAGTGTATTAAGCAAAACTGCATATTTATGCATGTTTTTAATCGGTGATTAATTCTTATGTTTTCCGGACGAAGTTCCGGTAATTTTTGTGTCAGTTTACAGACGATGGCCAAACGTCTAAAATATCTTTGAGTTGTGTCCAGCAGGTCGCATAGTAACGAGATAAAGCTTGATAAAATGGCTGCGCGGAAATATATAACGTGCGGAAACCAATGACTAGACGATATTGACAGTTTTACAAACAAATAATTTTTACTGAGAAGTATCAACTGATAATATGGAGTTAAATAACCACGAAAACAATACCAGTACAAACTAGTGATAGGGATTGGAAATTCCTTAATTATCAGCCTTTAGTTTTGGTGAAAATGATTTGCTCCAATATGCATGTTCAGTTCTCTCATATCATTTTTTTTCCATTTAAACAGATGAACTATCTTATCCTGGTACTTTGGCATGTTTGAATGTGGAAGGCCTTGAAATTGGGATGAAGAAGGCCAGGGAATGTCACAGAAATTTAAAAAAAAAATATGAAATTATTTGCAGGGTTTGTGTTTTATTGTCATAAACATAGAACATTTTCTTCAAGTAAATCAACCACATGCTTTCTTATTATATCCTAGTAGGTTGGCATGGTTACCTAAACAGCGTGTATGCATACCTGGTCATTGTTAGACCATTTTGATTGACAGGTGGAAATATGTCAGTTGTAGCTTGGTCAATGATTTATTATACTGAAATAATCATACAGGAGATGGGGTGACTTTCATGTCATTTTGACATATTTCTAGTTTTCATTAAGTTCAAAGTGATGATTTTATAAGGTGCTAATTACAATGAATTTTGCTTGAATATGAAGTTCGTATTACGATGTTCAGCCTCTTGGGAATTTAATCAGAAAGACTTTGATATATTATCTACACAATGGCACTTTACTTTTTAAACACTTATGTTTAGTTCATACTTTATAACCAACCGATTTTATAGCTCGTAGAATATAACTAAATTATGTGACTGACAATGATATATCTAAGAAAGCGACAATATGAACAAAGGAAATAGGTTTACATATTCATTAAATGGGAAAGCAATAAAAAACCTAGCGATTAAAACATATCTACTGACCAGGCATATATTTAGATAACAACTGGGGTTCACGTTTTACAAAGCGTTTGCGAAGTATTTGAAATGCCCAGATGTGTTGGAAACGACTCCATAATAATACGTTATACGGTACATCAATTTCATGGTGATAAATACATTGATAAACTATATGTTTTATCTAAGTAGGTGTTCATACAGGTGAAGTTGTGGAACGAACACCTGCCGTGTTTTATATGGATACAGGTCAAGGTTTAGCAAAAATTCTTTTGCTCTAGACAGATATTCAAACGATCAATGAGTAACGTAGGTATTTAAAGATTTCTAGATTAAACAAAGAATAAAAAAATATATAACGTTTTTGGAATCTTAAAACCTTGATTAAATCAACTAAGACTTTTAATATTTTAAAGAAAAACTTATGAACATTTTTTTTTCCATTAAGTTCAAAGTGATGATTTTATACGATGCTTATTACAATGAATTTTGATTGAATATGAAGTAATCAGAAAGACTTTTATATATTATCTACATAATGGCACTTGACTTACAAACTTCATCCAATTACATAATGACGAATGATGAAAATTGGGATTTCATTTTATCAAATCCTCTTTTAAACACTTAGGTTTAGTTCATACTTTATAACTAACCGATTTTATAGCTCGTAGAATGTAACTAAATTCTGTGACTGACAATGATATATCTAAGAAAGCGACAATATGAACAAAGGAAATAGGTTAACATATTCATTTAATGGGAAAGCAATAAAAAACCTAGCGAATAAAACATACCTACTGACCAGGCATATGTTCAGATGACAACTAGGGTTCACGTTTTACAAAGCGTTTGCGAAGTATTTGAAATGCCCAGATGTGTTGGAAACGACTCAATAATAATACGTTATACGAAACATCATGATGATACACACATTAATAAACTATATGTTTTATCTAAGTAGGTGTTCATACAGGTGAAATTGTGGAACGAACACCTGCCGTGTTTTATATGTATACAGGTCAAGGTGTAGCAAACATCTTTTTGCTCTAGACAAATATTCAAACGATCAATGATTAACTTATGTATTTAAAGATTTCTAGATCAAACAAAGAGTAAAAATATATATAATGTTTTTGGAATCTTAAAACCTTGATTAAATCAACTAAGCCTTTTAATATTATATAGAAAAACTTATGAACAACATTTTCTTCAATAAGTCCAAAGTGGTTATTTTATACAATGCTAATTACCATGAATTTTGCTTGAATATGAAGTTCGTATTACGATGATCAGCCTCTTGGGAATTTAATCAGAAAGACTTTGATATATTATCTACACAATGGCACTTGACTTACAAACTTCATCCAACTACATAATGACCAATGATGGAAAATAGGGTTTCATTTTATCAAATGCTCTTTTAAACACTTATGTTTAGTTCATACTTTATAACCAACCGATTTTATAGCTCGTAGAATGTAACTCAATTATGTGACTGACAATGATAAATCTAAGAAAGCGACAATATGAAAAAAAAGGAATAAGTTAACATATTTATTTAATGTGAAAGCAATAAAAAACCTAGCGAATAAAACATATCTACTGACCAGGCATATGTTTAGATGACAACTGGGGTTCACGTTTTACAAAGCGTTTGCGAAGTATTTGAAATGCCCAGATGTGTTGGAAACGACTCCATAATAATACGTTATACGATACGTCATGGTGATAAATACATTGATAAACTATATGTTTTATCTAAGTAGGTGTTCATACAGGTAAATTTGTGGAACGAACACCTGCCGTGTTTTATATGGATACAGGTCAAGGTTTAGCAAACATTCTTTTGCTCTAGACAGATATTCAAACTGATCACTGAAACACCGTTTTATTATAAATGATATTCTGGTGTTCCACAAGGCAACACGTTGAGCTTTCAATTTGTATTTAATATATACTCCTTCCTATAAATTGGGGTAAAATTATACCGTAAATCAAGCAAGCACACATGTGTATGCCAAAGAGTTAAATTATAAAATTTCATGTAAATCAAGCGAGGTATCTTTGCATGCCAAAATGTAAACTTGAAAACTCCGTCAAATAAGTGGCGGTAAAAATTATACTGCAAATAAAGCCAGGTACCATTTGTAAGCCAAAGGATAAAAGAAGATAATATCTCCAATAAGTTTGGGTATAATTATACCGAAAACGAACTGAGGTATCTTTGTAAGCAAAATATGGAGTCATTTTGAAAGGCAATTCACAGGGCCTTCAGGGCTTTCGTAGTAGAATTTTATCAGATAATGGCTTATATATACGTAACCGGATGTCTTGACCTCGATATGACTTACGGTTACGTCTCTGACTGTAAAAACATCTCATAAGGAACGTAACAGATTTACGCGTTAAAGATGACTCTATTATTCATGAAAATCTTTGGCATTGGTTTCGCTGTGTTCCTTTGCATATTCGTCTCTGTAGCATTGCTTTTTCATCGACAACATCAAAAGTTTGATCACCTCCCAGGGCCCCCTAGGGACAGGCGAGTATTACAAAGCATTGTTGAATCTGCACTGTCTGCAATTAATGACGGACATGTCATATTTATTATTATTTCTTTTTAAAACATTTGTCCCCATATTTAACAAAATGGTTTTGCTCTCTCCTGCCTTTTATGAGTGCACATGCCTTCGTTATTTTAATTTTGATGTAATTTTTTTTATTTACAAATAGAAGAATCAACATTTTTATCTTCTTGAGCAACAAAATTAAAGAACAGTTTCGCTTTATTTCTAATAAATTTGCATGGCTGTGAATTAAAAGTAAAAGCAATTGATACTTTGGCATTTTCAATTTGGAATTGCTTTGACGAAAAATATCAAAGAATATATCTTAAATGTTATCATAATGGCAGTTCAAAACTTTCTGTGACAATAAAACTAGAACATACACTTTCGATGCAGTTATATTTTTGCAGAAATTTTAAAATTATTTATGAGATAATTATAAACACAAGTAATTTGCTAGAGATCAAGGTGCTATTATATCTACAACACAGCTTACGAATTAGGACGTGTACCATAGATTCAATTGTACTAGGGGGAACTTTTAACATTACTTATATGAGGTGCAGTAATGGCATGCACATCATGCACACTTATGTGTATAGAGCTGCAGACATATGTGCCACAAAATCAGTTTGTGATGATCGCTACAGTGAAATAGGCCCCGCCGAGGGCCAAACTTAAAACATAACAATCTAAACAGAACAGAAATGTTAGGCAAAAAAGAAAGGATTTTTGATATTTTAGTTTTTTGTTACGCAGATAGCGTTCTTAACATTTGAAATATGTCTCATATGTTTTGTGTTTGCTTGTTGCCAGGGACCTATAGGAAATGTCCCTGACTCTCACATACTAAATACAGATATACATGAATGGCTCTGTATGGTCCTCACAAACTTTACAGGACAAGCATGGGAAAAATTAGGAAGGTATTCCTTCAACTGCAAGGACAATGGGTGATCACTTTGTAATTTAGCCCGTCACGTGAACGCCAGTTACTCGGGTTATCGTTTGTTGAGGTATGTTTTCGAAAAGACAACTGTGCCTCATATTCAAGTAGGATTTATAGCTATTAAGAACATGTATGCCATTTTACAAATACATGTATGCTGGAAACTTATTTATCAAAAAAGACTTATAAAAAATTACAACATAATCCATAATTATTTGGTTTGGAGACAGGTCGAAATTCACGGGCAAAGATCTCACAAAAGCTTATGCATAAGATATCTCACAAACCCTTCTACGAAGTCAGTTAATATCTATACTATTTTATTCGATATCTGATTAGATGTTGGTGATCATCGGTCAAGGTTAAAGGGTCAAAGCTAATAATGATCCTTTTGATGTCCTATACACCATTTCTTTTATTGGTGAGGAGGGCAGGCACATATTCATCTGGCGGTTGCCAGATGTCAATCAGATAAAAAAAATGGCAGCCGCAAGATAATCACATATTGTGTGTGGCAATGACGGGCTTCCGTAGATATGCAAGTGATATATTGATTAATAATTTCTTAGTATCACCGGTTTTTAAATATATAAGGTGTTTTTAAAATATCATAATGACATTCTTTTTACCAAAAAAAAAAACAATAACTGAAAATTATGATTCCATACATGTACTATTGAAGATAAAGAATGTTTACAAACATATTTTTAAGACGTTTGTTAATTGTGATAAATACGTTGATGCATGGCTATTATGATAATGTATTCCATCTAACTAATATGTTGAAAAGTATTTATCTGAAATGACAACCTATCATTTACAGCATAATTTATGATGTTGTTTTAAAAACCCCAGATATTGTCGTTGAGTTAACAAATTAAATCTAATGAACGAATGCTATGGACATTTAAGTTATGCACTTATTCTAAAGAGAAATAACTCATCAAAGTAAACTGATCCTGGAAACATGGGAACGGTTGGTCATAATGTATGAAACACATATATCTTTTGAAGTTTCTGGAGAGGACACATTCATTCTATCGAAAAGGTGATTGCTGCTGGTGGTATAATAGATGACTTCTTAATAGAAACGTGAGTAAATGAATGAAACCTGTAGGAATATTTACAATGATGTGAACTCAGATATTGTCGTGGGGCAAACATTTCACGGTCTCCCGAAAACCTCCCACACCCTTTCGTGGTTAACAAGTACCAACTCTAACGTAGAATAGCTTCAAGTCAAATTTATAATTTCTTCCTGTACCTATGAATTAGTTGATGAAGATTATCTACGAAATCAACGAAATTAAGTATCCCCACGAAAATAAGTGTTTGTACTGAACGTAAACCTGTTTTTTTATTTATATTTTATTTTATTACATTTGCAGTAATATAATTACAATAGGATGTTTGGACTGTGAAAAGATACAACTGCATACAAATGTTGATTTTGTTAGGTGCGGGATTTCTGTGAACGTCGAATCAGTGAAAATGCATACATTAAACCTGATAATTTGGTTGTGAACAGTCTTCCTAGCAGATTAACAGTAATATATATATTTTTAGAATTAAAATTTAATACATACTGTAAACATACATATTACAGCGCAGTCTTATTCTAGCACTTATTGCGCTTTGATATTTGCGCTGAATATTGAACTTCTTACATGTTGTTCTATATTGAATAGTTTGTGGTTAAAATAATTCATCAGTGCGCTAATCTGTTGAAATTCATTAATGCGCTAAACTTTGATTGCAAAAAAATAAGTATGTTCACAGTATCAACTGTTTCTCTATATACTGAAGCATTATCTGCATCATCTTTTAAAAACTAGAATGTGCTATTTTGCTCAATAATTTTAAATTTCATGTGTCTTGTCCTTCTATAAGAGCTTGATGTATCTCTGACTAGGATATGATTAATCATATTTAAATGATTTTCTGATGATTCTGAAACAAACTTATAATAACAGTGATTATATTTTTATCGAATATATTTTCAGATCTAAAACTTACGGACTGGTATTTCGTCTTTGTTGGTGGAATGAAACCTTTGTTGTTGTTTTAGATCCAGAAGGCATTAAGGTATAACGCAAAAAAACTGTTCTAAATAACAATTCAATTTTGACAATGCCTACCATAACAGTAAAACATATACCTATTATGTAAAGCGCAGGCACAACCTGTGCTCTATTACGATTATATAATTGTTGAAAATGCTCCAAAAAGAGTTTAAAAAAAGGATTGCAAAGAAGTTCGGGGTTTTCAATTTCTTTTTAAGGATTATTTAGCAAGACTTTGATTTTTTTTAAGGATATTATGGTAACTGGAAGTCTCCCGAGGTCAACACGGATGAGTGACAATGTCGCCAACGTTTTTGGTGCAAGGTAATCAAGCTTAACCCATTTCACCTGGTGCTGTTTTTGCATTGATACGAAAACATACAAACTCAGACAGTCACTGAAATGCAAAAAGATCGCCCAAACAATGCTTTTCCGTCTTTGCGTATTGCAGGGTTATCTTCTCCTGTGAGCAGGTATTGATTGTTACGTCATTGGTTTGTGTGAGAAAATTACGTCGTTTTCTCAAACATTGATCACGTTACTCTCACAAACAAATGACGTAACAATCAATACCTTCTCACAAGAGAAGATAACTCTGCGATACGGAAAGACGGAATATACATTACAAAAGAGACCATTCTTAATTTATCTAAATATCTATGACAAAAAAGGACACAACGATTAAATTAAAATGATAAAATAGGGAAGATCAAAACATGCAACGAAAATCAATTATTTCACATAAAATATTCAAACTATTTATTCCCGAGCAATATATTGTTTGATTTGAAGAATCAAGAGATTGAACAGCTTGGTTTCCCGTAGTAAGCCTTTGTGCAATACATGAGAATATATCCATTCGCCATTTAATTTCTTCACAATTCAAGTACATGTAACAAAACAAGTTTTAGGAATATTGTCCATTGTTAGAGAATGTAAGTTAATAAATAGTTGTGAATATGTTCAATTATCGTAGTTAAGAGTAAGCGTAACCGCTGTTTGTTTACATTGACTCGCCTTGTCTAATTGTTTAGAGGAGTTTGCAAGATTTATCGGACGTGATATAGATTACGTGTAATGCTCGGCTTAAATGGGTGTTTTTCTCGCTATGTATTATGCAGATTACCTTAGTAATGTTCTGTTAATCGTATTATGGGCAATTTTAGGCAGCTCGAATCTTGTAAACTCCATGCAGTGTTTTCTGATACGGTAGCGTGGTTTGCGCCTGTCCGTTGCCGGAAGTAATGTTTTGGCTCGATGTTTTTTTAATCAGTTAATCAATGTATATTAGGAATTTTTGCACGCGAATTCGGAGCATAGAGGTAAGTCGTGTTCTTCGATCTCAGAACCGCTTACCTAGTCCAGCCGTAACTCAGTCCGTATCTTTCCTTGATACTAGCTATGTAAGCGTCTAGCAACGTTCTATGATATTTTTAGAGTGTTGGTGCTTTTATTCACATTATCTACGGTCACGGTCGAACGTTAGACTTATGGAACACAGTACTTATAGATAGTCTGTTATTGTGATAATCGTTTTTTTTTTAGACTATGAAGAAAGTGTACTTCATCAAATACTTCTATAGTGCTACTTCAGTTCCAAATAAGCAATGTAGGAATAGGGAGAATAGTACGGATAACAACAGAATATATTGTACTTTTATCTACATTAGCTGTGGTCAAGGTTGTACGTAGCCTTGGTACTACTGTATGGTCTGTTACAACGATAGTCAGTTGTTTTAGACTATGGATAGAGTGTCTTTTATGACTTCTAAATACAATTTATTCTTCAAATATTTATTCTATAAAGTAGCATCTGGTTGTCATTATTGTTGCTATGTAAATACTCATTAACTAATTTAACTTAACACTTGCTGTTGTCAATTCTGTCACTGAGTGGTTATTAAATAACCTCGCTGACCAGAGGTTTTTGACCAATAATAGCCTTGCTACCAAAGGTAAAAGAAGGCACATCGCTTTACCAAAAATACACTATACGAACACGTTACATACAGTTGCTTCATTATTCCTTCATTATTATATCTATTCTAAAACATTCATCTGTTTGTTACACAGATCCACTGATAAACTTTTCTCCCGCCGCTGCGATCAGATGAACGTAACACACACATAGGTGGCCACACCTGTCAAATTTGGTTATAGATACAATACGCCAAACCTGAACTACACTGCATTATACAGTTGTGTCCTTCTAGGATTCATCAATTATGCTAGGGACCAAAATGTTAGAAATTCAAACTGTCTTAAGTACTGTTAAAACATAGGTTAGGGTGACGTAAAACCTACTAATTTATTAATTTCTAAACACCTATGACGAATACTTGTAAATAACAAATAAAATAATCTTTAAATGTCGATATTATGGACCGTTACACTGCTCGAAAGAGATATATGTAACAAATATACACGTGTCACATGTAGAACCCCATGTATTCCAAACGGATGCGCTCAGTGATTTGTACTATTAGGAACGTCACAATGAGATGACGGCGTTTTATACCTTCGGTTTATCATATTTCCCCCTGCTCTTTCCAAATATGGCTTAAGTTTGTTTTTACGTTATCTAGACATTGAATTTTTTACCAACATTTCGGTAAATAGATGGGAGACAAAGATTCAATCCTTATGTAGGTAGGTGGGATTAATAGAATCTTTCACCCCCTTGGGGGTGAGACAGGGTAATCTCAACCCGAGGGGTAAGATTCTTAAGTTGTCAAACACGAGGCTTGTGTTTGACAGCTTAAGAATCTTACCCCGAGGGTTTAGATTACCCTGTCTCACTCCCAAGGGGGTGAATGATTATTTTTCTCTTACCCTGTTTACCCTTGTATTTTATATCGACGTTACATCAATGCAAGACAATGTTGATGTGATGCGGCTGAATTGTTGACGTGACGTCATTGTATTGTTGCCGGGACGTCATGGTATTGTTGTTATGACGTCATACAATTGTTGAGAACGTGCAAAGAACACGTGTAGCTTGTCTCAACCCTAGGGTGAGATAAGAAAATCTCACACCGGTAAAATGGTGGGTATCCCTGTCCAGGGTAAGATAAATGTATATTCTACCCTTGGGTTCAGAACTAGGTGTCAGAACATCGGCAAAGCCATGGTTCTGTCCCCAATTTTACAATCTCGGGTGTATTATCCATATCCCACATATATACATTTTATTGACTCTATTAGTCAAACATTAATATATATCTTTATATAAAGTAGGTTACCAGTTACATTGATTTTATCTTCATTACGTCGTTTCAGATTTTTTGGCCAGGCAATTGCCTCACTGGGTAAAAGTGAAAAATGGATGGTTCAGCGAATGCATCTTAACCAATGGTTCAAACCACGGTAAGTTTATTTTTCAATAAGTAACAAGTAATGACATAAAAATAAAAGGACGGCCAAATACACAGGGAGTAATACGGACAGAAATAGTTATGGTTTAGGTGTATGTACTTACGAAATAAAAATAGAAAAAAACTTATGCACTCTAAACAGTGAATATACTTATATTTGCAGATTTTACAATCTGCGCATTAACATCTTTCAACATATAAGCACGTAGATAATTGGCGCAACCACAAAATAATCAATAGAAAACAGTATACAGGTAGTTAAATTATCGTAGCAATTAATTAGCGCAATTTCAAAAGATAAGAGGGCTAAAATTAAACTATCGCTGAAATATGTACGTTAACAGTATTCATGAAGATCAGATTGATTAGCAAAAGTAGAAAAGTAACAGGTATCCTATCCATTTAGAAAGTTTATTTATATCAGTATGTAGCTGCGGTTCTTATCTCAAACGTCGGCTCTAGCTGGTTATACAGATGACGTGTAGACGAACACTACAAAGCACGCCCGAAAAGCAAACCACTCCTCAACTGTTTTCTAACGGTCATCGCTAAATCTTGTGAGGAGGGCGGATGAGGCAAAACCTTGAAACGGTCATGCTTTACTGTGTCAACTTACACGAATGAACTGGCATTGTCATGTGGTTATAACACGCCTTTCGTGACCATTTCAGCGCCGTTTTGCACCGATAGCACCCCGAAAACGTTTCAAGGAAACAGAGTGTTACTTTGCGATACTAGCTTTGCCACTTGGCAGGTAATAAAACGTAAGACGCCCGTAGCATCCAAAACAATTGTAGCAATGACTTTGCCAGCCAATGCACAGTTTTTGATTTTTTTTGTGACGAGATAAATCGACGCCATTTTACAGTTTGCTTTCTTCTTTTGTCACTTGGTTGTAATGATGGATCTATGTTTCCTCGCCAGTAACAATTCTCTCAGTTTAGTTACCCGTGTCCTGATTGCATTGCGCCAACAGTGTCGGAGACATTGCACCACATACAGCCTTCTGTTCATCAGGGAGAAATTTCGGGACCAATCGCGAGAACACTTACCCTGAAATGTCCAATGTCATGGTCATTCAGACATTTTCATTTGCTGGTCTTTCACAGCTAGCTGTCTCAGAGTTTTGCTGTTTGTGTCATTGGTCACCTTATCATGTTGCTAGGACGACGCTTGTTTTCAGGCTTAATCGATCCCACTTGAATTCGGCCTCCTAGTACTTTTCTTGAGTATATGTAGGGGCACTGTCACAATAACTATCTGAAAGCCATATATTTCGTTTCAACATTTCAAGATTTTCCCTTTTAAAAATTAGGTATGTAATGACAAATTAACATGGCACTATGTACCTCTATCACGTGTTTTTGCAACGTGTGTGTCTCAATTAAATTTCTTCACCTGAACAATGACGATATACACAAGAATATTTTGTCATGTACAATTCTGCAAATCATGCAATCGTTACGGCTCCAAGAATGGTCAAGGAAGTTATATCGTGAATGACACTTGTATCAAATGGTTACATTACTCTACTGCTTGTGTGCAGAGAAACATAGATTCAAAACTTGAACAGTTTTCGATTTGAAAAGTGTAGCTAATCTTTTCGTAGAATAAGATGATGAATGCAATATGTTATTAACATAATTTTTAAGTTCTTTATTTACAACGTTCCGTACATAAAAAAAACATTATCATTTTTTTTGCGGCAATCACTGGTGACATTTACTTTTTATTTTAATATTGCTAGCTACATCCGACAATTTGCATCTGATTTCAACGAGTTTGCTGACAGTTACGTAGAGTATATGGAACATTATGCGGACGGCAAGACAGAGGTGGACACCTTAAATACGTTTACAACACTGACGACACATCTGTTGTACAAGGTTTGTCTGGGAGTGAGGCTTGCAATCATCTGTTGTACAAGGTTTGTCTGGGATTGAGGCTTGCAATCATTTGTTGTACAAGGATTATTTGGGATATTGGTTTGTTACTATATGTTGTACAAGGTTTGTCTGGAGGTAAGGCTTGCAATCATTGGTTGTACAAGGATTATTTGGGATATTGGTTTGTTACTATATGTTGTACAAGGTTTGTCTGGGAGTAAGGCTTGCAATCATCTGTTGTAAAAGGATTATTTGGGATTAAGGTTTGTAACCATCTGTTGTACAAGGTTTATCTGGGGAAAGATATACTACTATCGGTTGTACAAGGATTATTTTGGAAAATGGGTTGTTACCATCTGTTGTACAAGGATAATTTGGGAGTAGGGTTTGTAACCATCTGTTGTACAAGGATAATTTGGGAGTAGGGTTTGTTACCATCTGTTGTACAAGGTTTATCTGGGGTAGGATATACTATCATCTGTTGTACAAGGATTATTTGGGAGTAGGGTTTGTAACCATCTGTTGTACAATGATTATTTGGGAGTAGGGTTTGTTACCATCTGTTGTACAAGGATAATTTGGGAGTAGGGTTTGTTACCATCTGTTATACAAGGATTATTTGGGAGTAGGGTTTGTAACCTTCTGTTGAACAAGGATTATTTGGGAGAATTGTTGTTACCATCTGTTGATTTATGGGGGAGTAGGTTAAAATATCATCTATTTTGTACAAGTTTTTTTTGAGAGTATGGTTTGCAGTTATCTGTTGTACAAGGATTATTTGGGAGTAGGGTTTGTTACCATCTGTTGTACAAGGAATATTTGCGAGTAGGGTTAAGATTTATTTGGGAGTACGTTATAATATCACCTATTGTACAAGATTTATGTGGGAGTAGAGAACAGTATCATCTGTTATAAAAGGTTTATCTGGGAGTAGGTTATGCTATCATCTGTTATACAATATTTATCTGGGAGTAGGGTATGATATCATCTGTTATACAATATGTATCTGGGGTAGGGTATGCTATCATCTGTTATACAATATTTATCTGGGAGTAGGGTATGCTATCATCTGCTATACAATATATATATGGGAGTAGGTTATGTTATCATCTGTTATACAATATGTATCTGGGAGTAGGTTATGCTATTATCTGTAATACAATATTTATCTGGGAGTAGGGTATGATATCATCTGTAATACAATATATATATGGGAGTAGGTTATGCTATCATCTGTTATACAACATGTATCTGGGAGTAGGGTATGCTATTATCTGTAATACAATATTTATCTGGGAGTAGGGTATGATATCATCTGTTATACAATATGTATCTGGGAGTAGGGTATGCTATCATCTGTAATACAATATATATATGGGAGTAGGTTATGCTATCATCTGTTATACAATATATATATGGGAGTAGGGTATGCTATCATCTGTTATACAATATGTATCTGGGAGAAGGGTATGCTATTATCTGTTATACAATATGTATCTGGGGGTAGGGGATGCTATTATCTGTTATACAATATGTATCTGGGAGTAGGGTATGCTATCATCTGTTATACAATATGTATCTGGGAGTAGGGTTTGCTATCATCTGTTATACAATATGTTTCTGGGAGAAGGGTATGCTATCATCTGTCATACAATATGTATCTGGGAGAAGGGTATGCTATTATCTGTTATACAATATGTATCTGGGAGTAGGGTATGCTATTATCTGTTATACAATATGTATCTGGGAATAGGGTATGCTATCATCTGTTATACAATATGTATCTGATAGTAGGGTATGCTATATAGAGAATAATACATGCCTTTTTCCATATCACACCCAGTATCAACCCGAGACTGCAATATCAGCCCAAGGGCCTAAGGCCCTTGGGCTGATATTGGTCGAGGGTTGATACTGGGTGTGATATGGAAAAAGGCGTGTTTTATTCTGTTTATCACATACTTACTAATAAAAACTACTATCTTATGATCTATTTTTCTTTTCGAAATAATCCTAAAACACCGGATTGAATTTAAAATTTGTAACACTCACTGATGTTTGACAGGTAATAATGCCAAATGCAATTAAACAGTTTCTGTCTCTAACTAGTTATAAATCGGAAAGCGTTGTGAAAAAGTAATACGTTGCTGAAAAAGGGCGTTGAACTCGGGTTCGTTGTCTGGACAATTATTGTTGATTTCGACATAAATGTATTATCCATTGTTTCTTTTATGAGTGGTGATGCATACATAACTTATGTAAAGACTATAACCAGACTTTCAAAAATGTTAATTATTTCGTTCATATTCTCAACAAATGGAAATCAAAAGCAGATGAAATTTTAGACGATGAAAAATAAATGTACACGTTGACCTATTGGTTTAATGCGGCTTTTTTTTTTAATATCTCCCGGTAGAAATATTAACAGAACCTGGCCGATCAGCGTTTTTACTTTTTGTGCCTGTGGCAAAAACTGAAATTAAAAAGTCGTGAAGCACCGACAAAGAGATAAATGCAACGGCCATCAGTTCCAAGATTTTCCGGTTATTTTTCATCCTTCCGGAAATAACCGATGAAGGCCGATGGAGTGTGATGTGATTGTGACGTCACAGTATGTTAATCTCTAAACGACGTTTCATGTCTGCTAGTATCAAAAATTATGTGATAGATTTTTTTCACTCAGAATGTATATTAGTTTTTATCTTAATAAACAAGTAATAAAACATGGGTATTGTTTTCACTATATAAAGATGTTCATGTATGGGTTAAAACACAGTTGTCTTTGCTTTAAGGATACACTTCCGGACGTCTACTTCCGGACGAAAAATAATAAAGGCAATGTGTAGAAAGGGGAAGCAACTCTGTTTACGCACGCATGTGTTACCATTAAAGAGCTTCGCTCGGGCGACTTCGGCGCCCGAAAGCTACGCTCTTATTATTATCAGCCAATAATATATAGTTATTGACCAATGAAAAGTCTCGTAACATCGTAGACTTGGTTGAAGTCAGTATTTCTAAAGAAAGAAAATCATCATAAAGTCGCAATGGTGGAATACATTGCAAAAGTATCTATCTATAAAAATAACAACATGTGAAATTAAATGAATTTATATGGGACGTTGCTCTTTTCCTTTACTTTGAACCGATTGCAATTTTAATCAATATCCTATCATTTTACATATTATTTTAAAAACATCAATTATAACACTTCTTTTATATATGT